TACTGTGAGGCTCACTAATTAAATTAGTTATGGCTGAAATCTTGTATTATTTGGACAACACTCGGTGTGTTAATGAACAGTTTTATTTCCAGTAAAACATGAAACTGTGAAGTTATGTATATATATATATATATATATATATATATATATATATATATATATATATATATATATATATATGTCTATTTCAACGTTCTAGTCACTCTACTACTCTACCATAATACCGAGTGTTACCTTATAGTAAACAATTTTCTGCAATGAAATATTTCATCAATTAACTTGTTACTATACAAACGTTTCGTGTATTTTTCTGTAGGTGCGTATGTCTGTATGTTTCTCTGTAGGTACGTGTGTCTGTATATGTTTCTCTGTAGGTGCGTGTGTCTGTATGTATTTCTCTGTAGGTGCGTATGTTTGTATGTGTATCTCTGTAGGTGCGTGTGTACGTATGTGTTTCTCTGTAGGTGCGGGTGTGTCTATATGTTGATAAGCTATTGTGTCGTGTTCAACACCCACATATTCAACACACCAAACACGACACCAAAATCACTTTCTCACCGACCTGTTAAAAATAATTTTACTGTCACCAATCAACATTTCTAAAGCAGCATGGTGTCGCTGCAAGCAGTGAGTGCCTCGTCCAATCAAAACCTCTGTATCTGGAGCTCATGCCCTAGGGTATTTTCTATTCTTATCACAACCACGACAAAAGATGTCTGCCAGTTTTCCATCAGTTTGGTGGCCGTTGTCCCTATTGCTCCCGTTCTCCAAAACATTTAATCTCTTTTATCGTCCGTCTGAAATATTATATCCATAAATATATTTCACGTTAATAAACAATATTTTTATTTATAATTTGGAGGTTTTTTTAGTTAATTTAATTATTTAATTATTTTTTTTTGTTTTTACAAAACTACTCGTAAGAAAAAAAAGAAACAAAATTGATTTTTTTTTTTTTTTTTTTTTTTTTTTTTTTTTTTTTTTTTTTTTTTTTTTGTAAGAAATATGAAACATTAGGTTTGAGAGTTCAAGCGTTCCCACTGATCAGGGATTTGATTAAATGAAGAAATTATAGATCAACATCGTGATAAATTGACAAAACATCGGGTTGAAAATTTCACCAGAGTTCAAGAAATAGAACACTCCTATCCAACCGGTAACGCCCGTGCTAATAATTCCGCTAAAGGACAGGAAACGCGAGTGCGCATGACATGCAAACGATGATTGGTTCTGACATAAAACGTCATCGTATCGCAGATAGGACGGCCCGGATGAAAACCAGACCGACCGTAAAAACAATTTGGTCAACATCATTATCTTCCACCATCTCTGCCGAGCTGGACGGGGTGAGGGGGTGGGGGGGGGAGAGGGGGGTCATGCTGGGATGGTCCCATCTTGATGCATTTGTTATGATTTTCGACAAGTTGGGTTTCCGAAAAAATAACGGGGGGAATGGGACGCCCAGAGCAGTCCAGCGTTAAAAAAAAAATGGTGATGTGTATCAGGGAATCGATTCGTGATATTATGGGATGGGCGTGGGCGTTTATCAACCTCAATTTTTGTCGCATATATTACCTTAAAGTAAATCAGGTACAATATATGTTGCGTAAATTATTTCGTTGGTTTTTTTTTATGTAAAATAATAAATTAACAACATTTTTAAAAATTCCAAAATAGTTAAGAAAAATGATTTTATGTATGCCTAATTTTTTTTATAAATAAATAATAAAATAATAAACACCGCAATTTATCAATTGGGCATAGTTTTACAAATGCTACATTAGAATGCGTATTAAGATAAAGTAGTAAAAGAAAATAAATAATTTATTAAATATAAGTTCTTAATGGCTTCTAATGTGTCCGAATTAATGTAATTTGAGCTCGTCTTTGATCGTGTAACTAAAAAAGTAAGAGTGGAGGTCTGCAAATGAGAAGATAAATGGGCCTAGTGAACCTTGTGGTCTTTTAAAACGTGAGAACCTTTGAAGTGATTGGTCCAGCCAGCTAGTGAATCAGTTCCTTCTATAAGACTCACCCTCACCCCCCCACACAAGTCTTTGATGGTAGATCCAGGTGTTTGCAGATGGACGAACGTCAGTCAAGGGGAAAGCCTAATCCATAATTTATGACCCGAGGGTGTGGGGGGGGGGGGGGGGGGTCACTGCCAGGGTTCTCGCACGTGCTTGGGGGGTATTTACCTAGGCTCATCCGACAACAAAGATGCGTGGACAGGCCCGCTAGCAACGTCACCATCAGCCGACCTAACTGGTTTGTTTTTGGTGCGGAGGGATGGGGGGAAGGGGGGTAAGCTTGTGTATCAACTGCGCGTGTTGTCGGTGTGGAGTGAGTAAACAAGCATGTGGATGTTGTGGATGAGTAATAAGAAGGTGCAGGTGCAGTAGAGTATTACTGTTCGATAGGTAGCTGCCATAGTAGGCACAGTGTCCAGCAAAAAGGTGAAGAGAAATAACATGACAATTTTACCCAACTTTGACCAAAGCATATCCAGCACAATGCGCATCACAATGACAACCACCAAACATTCCACAATGCCCAACACAATGCCTATCACAATGCCTATTGAAAGGAACATCACAATGCCCTCCACAATGCCCAACACAATGTCCATCCAATTGACCAGAGTGGACATCACAATACCTACCACACGCCTAGAACAAAATATTCTCCCTTCTGTCAATCACTGCTGGGCCTTAAACCAATAACGTTTAGAACTCGCCCGAGAACCCTACCCCACCCGACCACTCAGTACTGTAGACGCTGTAGGGAAAAAATATAAACCTGTTTATGCCCGTATTTTAACAAATTAACTAGTTCTTTCCGAACGTTGCTGTTGATAACAGTTTTAGAACGTATGTCTAAAACAACGTCCTGTCGCTCATTGTGTACTCAAGGATTAATTCATCACATTAAAGACCTGTGTTTATTGTTCACTTATACCACGGACGATGTCCCTGAGTCCACCCAGCTCTGATGCGTACCTAATTCACGTTAGGGAAAGTTAGAGGTGTGGCGAGGGTGGGCGGGGGTTACACCAAGGCAAAAAAATGCAAAATGTACAGACGAAAAATGCTTTTTTGCCAGTTCCATTAGTGATTAATTAAAGTTAATTAGTCTTTTAAGTACAAATTAACAATTATTGCAAAAGGGCAGGATATTATAATCCTATGTAGGCCAACACAAACACACACCACACATATTATATATATATATATATATATATATATATATATATATATATATATATATATATATATATATATATATATATATATATATATATATATATATATATATATATATATATATATATATATATATATATATATAAACTTTTTTCTTTGAGGGGGGGGGGGGGAGTGACACCACGAAATGCCGCACCGGGTAACACACGACCTAGCGACGGCACTGGGGAAAGTAAAGGCGGCTGGGCATAGTTCTGACCACATTATCCCTTCATATGCCGGGGTCACTAAAATAAGTTTACTTCACCTCTCCCAAGGACCGTAAGTTTCGAAATGGTATTTTTTTATACAAAATACACAAAAGATAAAGGTATTTTTTTCCGATTTCCTATGTTACTCTTTGTGTTCGACTATTAGCGAGGTAATAGATTGATACGTATTGACTTTAAATGAATGATTGATTTCTTTCAACCTGCTTCATCGATCTTTTTGACAGTAGAGGGGAGGGCGGAGGTGTAGGGCATGTAGTCATAAAGCAAACGACAAATACCTTTGATCTCACCCCCCCTCCCCACCCTTTGATGTGCCCCCACACCGTCAGGTAGGTGCCCCCGGGCGGGTGACGGATGAAACGCTCGCGCTTTCGCAGATGCACGTGCGCGCGAGCTGTCACAAAGGACTTTTGTGCGAGGTCAGTCGAGCGTGAAATTTATCTGTTTGTCATTTGGGGGGATATGTGATTTTCTGGTTTTCATAACGGAACAATTAACTCGCCAGAATAATTTGTCCGTATTCTGCACTAAATAATGTGTTGATGGTTGTTGTTGTTGTTTTATTCTCTTTTTACTTTTTATAATTTTTTTATGGTATAATTATGTGGTGTTTCTAAAGTCGGTATTTTTAGGGGAATGGTGGGTGAGATGTATTATACTTTTCTTTTTACGTTTATCAGTTTCTGTTGTGTTAAAGTCATGTGGTTTTTACATAAGATATTTTTTAGGGGAAGGTGGGGGATGACAAAGAATACATTTCTTTTTACTTTTACTATTTTCTATCTGTATTGGGATTGTGTTTTTTTTCTTTTTGATGTTTTTGTTTTCTTTAAGTTGGTAATTTTTTTTTTTGGGGGGGGGGGGGGGGGATAGTTGACATATATTATACTTTTTGTTTTACCATATTCTACTGTGTTAAAATTATGATGGGTTTTCTGTGTTCTTTTTTTTTTTTTTTTTTTTTTTTTTTTTTTTTTTGGAAGTGGGAGATATATTAAGTGAAAAAAAAAGTGATGTAGGTTTTACTGTTAGTGAATAACTTCATCGGTTTCAATATGAATTCAAACTGCTGGTTTCTTGAAGATTACATACAAAAACAAAAGCAGAGACCCAGGTTCTGTGCGCTATTATCTCCCCTCTATAGACGTTTCATAAACAACATCAAATTATCTCCATTTTCTAGAAGTTTCATTAAAAATATCAAATTATCTCCCTTATATAATCTTCTTATAAACATCATCAAATTATCTACCTCATATAATATTCTTATAAACATTATCATATTATCTCCCTTATATAATCTTCTTATAAACAGCATCATATTATCTCCCTTATATAATCTTCTTATAAACAGCATCAAATTATCGCCTTTTCTCTAGACGTTACATAAATAGCATCATAGTATCTCCCTTATATAATCTTCTTATAAACATCATCAAATTATCTCCCTTATATAATCTTCTTATAAACAACATCAAATTATCTCCCTTATATAATCAGCATCAAATTATCTCCCCTTCTCTAGACGTTTCGGCACCAGGTGTGCGAGCTGCGACAAGGGGATTCCCCCTACGGAGGTGGTGCGGCGAGCCCAGGAGAACGTCTACCACCTGGACTGCTTCGCCTGCCTGATGTGTGCCCGGCAGCTCAACACGGGCGACGAGTTCTACCTGATGGAGGACCGGAAGTTGGTCTGTAAGACGGACTACGAGGCGGCCAAGGCAAGAGGTACGGGTATGTTCCATGTCCATAGGCGGCGTGTTATAGGGGGCACCATGCTTATTGTTGGGGTTGTTTGTGGTGGGGGGGGGGGGGCTAAATATTTCAATGTTTTGGCATTAATACTTTTATATAATGGCCCAAATATTTCAATATCTTGGCCCAATATACTTGTATAACTGGCCTAAATATTTCAATATTTTGGCCCAAATACGTGTATTATATTATGACCTAAATATTTTAATATTTTGGCCCAAATACGTGTATACTATGATCTAAATATTGAAATATTTCGGCCTATTTATAACTAACTAATTGCTAATCTAAAAGTCTAAGCTCGATTGATAGCTACGGCGTTATCTAGGTTTCTTTCAGAAATTTTTCTCCGAGAAGGAGAGGAGGAAAGGGCACTTGAAACTTCCGGAGTTGGTGTACTTAAAATTTCCATGGGGGGGGGGGGGGGGCGGACACAGTCAAAGTATTTATTATTTATAAAATACTTTTTTTTTCTTATTCGACAGTGGGTGGACTCCCCCTATTCCCCACTACTCCTCCCAAAGTGTATCACATCCTCCTTAGCATATTTTCTAAATTCAACAATACATTTGGGTTGTTTTTATTTATTTTATTTTTTGTAATTATTTTGCTTTTAAAAATTTCGAAAGTCGAAAACTAATGTTTTATTGTCACCTGTCACCCCTGCTAGAGTACGAAATGGACTCGTCCAACAAGCGACCCCGCACGACCATCACGGCCAAACAGCTGGAGGCGCTGAAGCGTGCCTACAACGAGAGCAACAAACCTGCTCGGCACGTGCGAGAGCAGCTGAGTGCAGAGACAGGTCTGGACATGCGAGTCGTGCAGGTAACTGACACAGGCATTTTTTTTTATAGTTAGAATAATTCAACTCTAGATCCTGTACGTCGGCTTGTCCGACTGGACGCTTCATGCCAACCGTATGTGTAATGGTGTCAGGCATTTTTAAATAACTACAACAATGGAACTCTAGATCTTACATGTTGGATTCTCGTTTGTTTTGAGAATCCCCACTGAATGTAGTCCCTGCCCTCACTATTTGAGAATCCCCACTGAATGTAGTTCCTGCTAAAGATTTGAGAATCCCCACTGAATGTAGTTCCTGCCCTCACTATTTGAGAATCCCCACTGAATGTAGTTCCTGCTAAAGATTTGAGAATCCCCACTGAATGTAGTTCCTGTCCTCACTATTTGAGAATCCCCACTGAATGTAGTTCCTGTCCTCACTATTTGAGAATCCCCACTGAATGTAATTCTGTCTCCCCTGGCAGGTTTGGTTCCAGAACCGCCGTGCCAAAGAGAAACGCCTGAAGAAGGACGCTGGCAGACAGAGGTGGAACCCCTACTACAGGCAGATGAAGAGGGAGGGGGACCACGACAGCAGCCTCAGTGCTGACGACAGGAGTGATGATGGTGAGTACACTGTTTATTTTTTAATTTATTTTAAAAATTATGTGAAGTATATTCCAAAAAAAATAAACCGGTAGTGATCTCCCCTAAACTTTCTCGAATATTCTTATATAAAACAACAGGGGATGGTAACTGGGGATATAGTTATGATTTTTAATCCATTTTAAATACTTAAACTTTTAAAAATAGAATAGAATCTCATAAAAAAAACATTGCGCACCAAGCAAACGCCGAATAAAAACGCGTATTATAGTGCGCAATATTATTAGTACTTTAAAAATTTACATTAGTTTTTTGAGAAATCGGAAGTAGCGTAAATTACTACTTCCAGTCAACGGAAATTACTCAAAATTTAACAGAAGGTAGAGAATTAGATCTTTTACTTACATGTGAAATTTCATTTATCTATCTGAAATAGTACTCAAGTTATAGGCTTTTGAAAAATTCAAAGTAGGAAAAGTACCACTTCCGGTTATCGGAAATCGCTCAAAAGTTGATACGGATCTACGATTTTGATAAAATACTTATATATGAAATTTCATCAACCTAGCTGTAACGGTACTCAAGTTATCGTGTTTACACACGGACACACACACACACAGACACACACACACACAGACACACAGACATACGGACAAGATTGCAAAATTATGTTTTTCCGTATCAGTGAGGTGTAAAACGTCGAGATTTGTAAAAATCTCGATTTTTTTTTTTTTGCACGATTACAATACTTTCTCTATACTACGTATATACGAGAAAGTAAAAAGAGAGAAAAATCGAACATTTTCTAGTCATGAAGGGAAAATTTTAAAATCCAATGCATTATCTTCATCTAGCGTGATATTTCATTTTATTAAAAAAAAACTTCTGTTTTCTGAACTCTTCTATAACATGGATAGGATGAATATTTGAACGTAACTAAGCGTAACCTACTTCCTGAAATTATCTTTTAAAACATGGATTGGATAATATTTGATCGGACAATATAATGTAGCCTTCTTCTATTTTTCTTCTTATCCTGTGTAACTTCTTTCGCAAGTAGCCTCCGATTATGAGTCGTGATATAACAAATTTAAAATTTTTATCATTACGCTCATTTAGTATCCTAGGGTTTGTAATTTACTTAAAATAAGACTTGAGATTACATTTATCTTTTATTTATTTATTTATACTGCGGATTTTTTTTTTACGTAACTAAATATCTGTTTCTGAATGTCACCCAACTGAGTTGTCTTTTCCTACAGGCAGCCTAGACGACCTTGAGAGCACGAGCGGAATGTCAGGTGGCCGGATGTCAGGTGACGCCTACAGCCTAGACTCGGACATGTCACTAGGGCCCCTGGGCAGCGGGCCCCCGGGCGGACCAAACGACGGGCCGGGGCTTGAACCTTGGTCTCCCTACAGCGGGCCTCTGGGGCCAAACGGGCCCCCAAACATCGGGCCCCCACTTCCTGTGAACGGTCCCCTGGGGCCGAATATGAGCCCAGGGGGCATGCCCGGGGCGCCGCACCACTACCTCGGGCGTCACTCCCCGGGCGCTCCGTTGTCACATTCGCAGATGATGCCGTTGGATGCGATGGCCGGCATTCCTCGTCTACTGCCGCCAGGGGAGGATAACTCCCAAAGCTACATGGATTATCCCCCTTCATCCACACACAATCATGTTGAGGTATACTGAAAGAGACAATAGAAGCTGATCTCTGCTATAAAAGACTTGGACTGAAAATTGTGAAATTGTGAAAAAAATAAATAGAATTATTTTCAGCGACAATTTCTTAATGTATTAAACAAAAGAGAAATGAAAATATAAACATTGTATGGACAAAAACTAAAACTGAATGAAAAAGTAAGAAACCGTTGATGAAAATTCAATGACAAAGGCGTTAGTGAACAGTGTCAACCCATTAGGTATGAACAGACAGATACATTGTTTTCTCTGAAAAGTTCATAACTCATTGCAATACGCCTCTGAATTGTGCTAAAGGAGCGTCCTGTTGTTCGTTGTTTTGGGGTTTCTGCATAACTTAAGTAGCCGATATCATCGACTAAATAAAAACATTGGCCTATAGGCCTAGAGACAGCCAGAGGCGTAAGGAGCTGTTGACGATGAAGATTTAACGGTGATGTGAAATATGTGAAGCAGAAAACTGATCGTTATTTTTTAAAAAGTCATTTCGCTAAAATGTTCGTTCTGTTTTTATATATTTTGAGAAAAATGTTTTTTTTCAAGTATATGTAAAACATTTGTTGTCAAAGGGACATAACCCAGATTATTATTCTATAAATGTGGTTACCTCTCTTTATAAACTGAACACATTAACTAAATTCTGTTATAATAGTGATTAGAAGTTTTAAACTTTTTTTTTTCAACATTTATTGCTTTAATTTTATGTAAAGTTTGTATGCTATACATAATGTGTACAAATCATGTATGTATAGATGTATGTACACATATTTATTTGAGTTTTTTCTAGTCACCTGTTTAACAACAGTTCTATTAAATCCACTATACTGCAAGGACGAGTAGACCAATGACAAGGGGAGCCTACTCCTAGTTATGATGTGACTTTTACCGACTTTCAGGTTATGTTCATTATTTGCTGCTGAGTTAACTCAGTGCATATGGATACCAGAATCACGCTTGGGAAAATAAAGGCGGCTGGGCACAGGACTAACCATAAGCTGTGTTCACAGAAACAGTTGAACTCTACTTCACCTGCCTTTACTGGCCACAAGGGTAGCTTGACATTACTTTCACAATTATAAAAACCATCCTCTAAAACTCTCGACATCACCAGGAATGATCCAGAAGAATTGGTTTGAGTGTATACCATGCCTGTGACTTTTCCTTCGACTTCTGTGTCACACCGGTTTCGCTGCTCCTGACCAGTGGCGTAGGCAGGGGGGGGGTCATAACCCCCCCCCCCCCCCCCCATAGACCCCTCGGTATATATATACAAAGTATGAGAGGGGGGCAAATCGAAAGTTTGTCCCCGGGTAAAAATTGGACCCCCCCCCCCCCCTTGAGACGATCCTGGCTACGCCACTGCTCCTGACCAATCGACATTGTGTTCATATGTGCATGTGTACCTGCTAAAACTACCTGAAAACTGTGTTCACCTGTGCGTGAGTAGCCTACCTGCTGTGCTCACATTCAATGGCGTCATGTGTCGGGTGTCATCTAGTGCAGTAACTAATTGTTTAAACCCCCAATCCTCTTGAACATTTAACTTTTGTTTTTTTGGCTTAATGTCAACCCCCTCTTTCTTACTATTTTAACTGGAGAAAAACATTGATTTAACAGTATATTTTACCATTTTTTTAATTTGGTGTCACCCGTTGCGGACCGCAATTTTGTTATGCTAGTTTTATTTTATACTTCAGTAAAGACTAATATTGTGCTCATTTTTACTTGGTAAAGTTGAATGTTTTATATAAATTTGTTACTTAAACAAACATGCATTGACTAAACTCTGATATTTACCTGCTAACTTTATTCTGTTATATTTACTGTTTCCTCCACATTTGGTTTCTTTTAAAACATGGATTGGATAATTCTTTTGTCCTACATTGAATGTAACCTATTTGTTTCTTATACATGGTTTTTAAAACATGGTTTGGATAACTCTTTGAGCGAACAAGTGAACTTAACCTACTTTTCTTTTTTTTAAACATGGATTGGATAAATCTAAATCGAACAACTGATCGTAGGCCTATCCTACTTAATATATTTCCGATACGTTTTTTAAAACATGGATTGGATAAATCTTGGAACGAATCAGCTTATCTTTATGTTCCCTCTTGTCCTTGGCAATTGATTTCGCAGTAGTCTCTGCTCATGTGTTGTGATATTACAATTGGTTTTTAATTTATTCTCTTTCATTGTGTATGAATACAGCACAAGCTGTTTCATCTGGTGAAATGATTTATTTTATACATGTCTGTTTGTTATTTCATGAATAAAAGTTTTAAAATTTTTCTGTCTATATTTTAGTAAGCTAAATTGTTTGTAAAATGAATTTTAAAATGTCATGACATTGGAAGTTTATTTTAAGAAGTCTTGGATTTTTAAAATAAAGCTGTACAATAATAATTTATCAATTGTTTGAAATTGTGTTCGCTGAAGCGGGATAAGAAAAATATTTTTATTGCTCAGTGTATGTGTGAGTTGTGGTTGATTCAGTAATTATTAGAATGTGGGGTGTTTTTTTTTTTAAAGAATTAGAATGTGTGTTCTTGTTTTGTTAAACACCTCGAATCTAAGATAAGAGATTTTAACAAATTGAATCTACAGGATCAGATTTTAAACACCTTGAATCTAAAATGAGATTTTAAACACATTGAATTCAAAATATGAGATTTTAAACACATTGAATCCAAAGTATGAGATTTTAAACACCTTGAATCCAAAATATGAGATTTTAAACACCTTGAATACAAATTATAAATTTTAACTACCATAAACACCTTGAATCTAAAATATGAGATTTTAAACACATTGTATATAAATTATAAAATTTAATTTAAATACCATGAACCTAAAATGTGATACATCAGGGGAGATCAATCTTACAATTATTTGGTTGTGGTAAATGTTAATTCTAAAGCAGAGTGGTTTGACATGAGGACAAAATCTGACTACACTCTGTGCTGCACTGTCAATACAATCAGAAGTCTGGTATGTCCCTGGAGTCTACTCAGCAAAAGTGAGTACCTGACCAACATCTGGCAAGGGTTTCTATGTTATGTCTGTAGAAACTTATGATTCTCCTTATCGTTCTTTTCAAAGGGCACCCAATCTCAAGATTGTAGCTTTGCTACTTCTATGGTAAGTCTTGAAACTCTTTAAAAACAATAGTAACAAAAACAAACAATACTGATTATTTAGGATTATGACACTTTGTGGGGGGGGGGGGGGGGGGCTCATTACAAAATAAAAACTTGGTTATGAATGTGGGGGACTTGACAGTAGTGGTGGTGTACAGATGTTATTGGCCTGGTGTGTATGACGTGTCAGTGGTCAGGTATATTATGATGACAGTGGTGAGATACGTATGTGATGACAGTCCCAGAGACCCAAATAAAGCCTCACATTACAGTGAACAAAGTCCTACTCCACCTGGCCATATTAATCATCATCCCACCAAACTAGTCTACAATATTAATTTTTCAAGGTGAACAAAGTCCTACTCCACCTGGCCATATTAATCATCATCCCACCAAACTAGCCTACAATATTAATTTTTTAACGTATTTAAATAAAACTTATAAAATTTTAAAACAGCATTACACAGTTGGGAAACTATTAAAATCAGCTTGGAATTACTTTACAAGTCTTTTTCACACCATACAATGTTAAAATAATTTAGCAAAACAGATATTATTTAAATTACAGTTTATTAAAGATTTGTATCAAGTAGTCTAGACACGAGTTGTAACAAATATTGAAGTACACAAATAGACATGGGATCAGTTGTGGTAATCCTTTGTAATGATATTAGTATACTTGTCTTATTTTATCATAAAATATACTGAAGACTAATGACTTGTACTTTGAATAGGCAGTGTAGTTACAATCAAATATATAAATGTATATTAAAATTAACTGAAAATTTAATTTTATAAAATAGATGTAATAGAAAATTTGTTAAATTATTCTAACAATGAAAATTATAAGTACCATAAGAAAATAAAGTGATTAAAAACCTTAGATATGTTTAATCACAACACAGTACCATTTAACAAACTTGAGTTGAGGCTTTGATAGTTAGGAAAGTTATAACATTTCTGAGCGAAAGAAAATGTATGGTAGAAAATGCAGTGATTTAGTTTAAAACATTGCTTCATCCATACACATCCATACACATCTGGCTATATATCAGTGGAGAAAACATTTGCAACATACACCAACAGGGATATATTCACATAGGGCCTATATTTTATTTGGGCAAAAGGGAAACAATTCATTAAAAAGAAGATAGTTCGAGTTATCATCTTTAGTAAGTACAATTTCTATTTGAATTTCCACTTTTAATTTTTAAATTACAAAAAAATGCAAACATGGTATGATATATTACAATTACACACACTCTAATTTTATCTTGTGAAGAAAATTTTTACCTAAGTAACATCAAGTGTGCATAATAATAACAAAATTTAAAGCTATATTCAGTTCAATGAGATATATGAATGGAAGCTTTTAAAAAAACTGTGTTAAGAACCAATGTACAAAAATCTAAAAAACAAATAGGCTTAAACCATTGGAATGTTTAAATTTTACAAAATCAACTTTTTATAAGAAATTCCAAAATTATGCATAAAATATAATTACACAGTAGCTCATGAGCTAGAATATCAAACTTGGAAGCATTAAAATTAAAACAGTAAACATGTGTTTAAACCTTGTTCATCCCAATAAAATTGCTAAAAAACAAGATTTTCATTATTCATTCTGAAAAAGTTTGTTCACACAAATAAAGATAACCCATACAATAAAATGTAACTAGGGTTTTCAAAAAAATATATATATTATATTTTTTGTATAAAGATGAGTTTTATTGCAGTCACAGTTTTACCTTAATATAAACCACTAACTCAGTTTTAGATTTTAAAACTTATCTATAGTATGATCAAAGTAACTGCTATAAAACTTCCGTTTTTGGTGGCCTGCCTGGTGTGAATGTAGCTATTTCATACAAACCAACATCATAGCCTCTTAACCACTGACCACCTTCATGATAGGTGCCCCTAAGTTCATCTTTCCAATGAGGCCCTTTTGGTAAATACACATCTCTTTTTCGAGCTTCTGGATTCAAAACAGGTGCCACTAAAAGCATGTTGCTGACAAAAAACTCACAGTCTATGAACTGCGCAGTTTCATCCCATGGAGAAATAAACCAGAGAGGTCGTAATATTGGTGTACCTAGGGGGAAAAAGTTTTTATTATAAGCTTACATGTTGTCATTAGTGAATGTAATTAAGTATATTAAAAAACTGTAAAGCTGTAATAGTTACATTTTAGAGACAGTGTGGTATAATGGTAACCTGAAAGTCTCGAGTTCGGATCCTGGGCTTAAGTCTGTAGGACTTCCTTGAGTCCACCCAGCTCTGATGGGTACCTAACACGCATTAGGGAAACTAACTAGACTGGGCATAGTGCTGACCACATTATATCCATGTATGCCAAAACTCTATTTCATCTGCTCCATGTGTCTTGGGCACAAATGGGAAAAGAGGATGATGAATTACATTTTTAAATGTTTTGCAGCAATTACTTTTTATGACCTCGTGTGCAGTAACATTTTTAAAAATAATTTTCATTTTTAAAAATAAAACAAAAACAACCTAAGAGATGAATAATTAGTAAACCTAATAATAAGAATGGTGAATAATGGAATAAAAATAGCAAATCTAATAATAACAATAGTGAATAATGGAAAAAAACAACAAATTTTGTCATTAAGTTCCCAGTAAGCAAGCAGGACGGAGTGGTCTAGCAATAGAGAGCTGGACTGCTAACCCGTAAGTCTCGAGTTCAAATCCGGGTTCAAGTCAGTAGACCGTCCCTGAGTCCACCCAACTCTGATGGGTACCTAACTCACGTTAGGGAAAGTAAAGGCGGCTGGGCATAGTGCTGACCACACTATCTCTTCATATGCCGAGGTCACAGAAACAAGTTAACTCTACTTCACGTGCCCCATAGACTGTCAGGTTTGTAAGGGAAATTTACTTTTAATCAAGCAAAATAAAATTAAAATAATATGAAATGAGAACTATTAATCACAGTTTTTGCTTACCAACTTGCACCGCTTCTTGTACAGCACTAGACATATATTTAGGCCACAACACCTTACGCCTGTATTCCAAAAGTTTCCTTGTATAATTCACAACCTCCTCGCCATAGACCCAAGGCCCTGTGGAAAACTCAACCACAGGCAGAAAAATAGCAAGCTGAAGCCACCGAATGAAAAGCTCTTTCTCTGGAGGTGCAAAGTCATTTGTTGAGGACTGCTCACTGTTGATGGTGACACCCCCCACAGGGCCTAAGTTTACAAAGGGGTATCCCATGAGGCCGTAGGTCAGGACAGTGGGGATTAAACTTTTTATACCCTTGCCATGATCCCAGGATGCCAGCATAGGCCCAGCATCTGCTACTCTTGTTTCTTCCTGGCTTTTGTAGCCACTACCTAGGAAGCAGCGGTCACCAAAGTCACTGGCTATTTCAGCGTAACGTTGAGTATACAAATTGGGATGTATATTTTGTAAGGGCTGTTGTGTGTCAGTGTCTTCCATATTTCTCCATAAGTTGGTGTCTATACCTTGCCCACCTGAAAATCTAAAGCCTGTGATTGTCAATTCTTTTGAAATATCTTTCAAATGAGAAGTATACCAGGCTACAGCCTCTTTATTTTCTACATCTAGATAAGATGTATTTCTATCTAAATATGAATACAGTTTATTTTTCTTTGAAAACTTTTCCAATTCTGGAGTTGTCGGAATGTAAGGAAAAACTTCAGTGCCAACATGAAAATTTTCAAACGACGGGTTGAGCTCATGTTCCAGCTCCATAATAATTTGCTGTGAATGTGGAAAACGGTTGTCATTAAAATAGAAATTGCCCCTAGATTTGGAATAGTTGCCATCAATGAAAAGTTGACTGTAAGGTAACTTGTTTTGTTTTATATTTCCCACAAGTGACAACACTATAGACTGGTTAATGCTCTTGACATTTAAGCCTCTGGTACTCCATACTGGTTTATGAAACAGCTCCACTGGTGGTGACACTGTAGAGTGGGATAAAGCTTTGTTTTCTAATAAATGCCAATGCAATGTCTTAGCCGTTCTGTCTTTACATACTTGGTAGCTAAGAAGAGTTTTACTGATAGCTTTAGTTTGCACTGGACGAGAGTAAGGTGGTTTATAAGCAGAAGTGAAACACAATTTCTTATCCACATTGTGGTTTATAGAAACAAATAACGGTAAGTAGGAATCAACCATAACGACAGTCCCACTAGAGCTTATAAAATAGGGCTCAATAAAAGAATCAAAATAAACATCAGCATTCTCATTTGATGGGTACATTTTCTGAGTAATATATGGCTGCATATGCACATCAACTCTGTTTAATGGCCATCGCTGAACAGATAAACTGCCTCCACCATACCAGTTATCAACTCCGAAGTTGACGCAGTTGGTAACCTCTGTGGTCAAGTTCCTTGATACCCAGTGAACATTATGGCAATGAGCTCCTTCAAGATTATCCTGGTAAACTGCTGCATATAAGCCATCTTCAAAAGCTAAGCAGAGCTGTGGAATATTTTCAATAATACTCTCTCCTGCATCTGTCCTTTTGTCTTTTGGCTCAAAATTGAAATCAGAGTAAAAATCTTTACATAATTTTTTTGACCGCGAAAAATTCTTGAGCTTGTGAGGCAGGGAAATGGTAAGGTAACGTTCACTTGATTCACTATCAGAAAAAACTAAACTGTTTGAGAATTCATCAAATGCAACATTTCCTGTTTGTAAAGACAATGCAATGTTCGGTGCATTTGGTAAAGAACTTTTTCTTGATGAGAGGGACAGAGCAGCAAGAATAATCAAAATTATAGAAATGACAGCAACAATAGCCCCGATTTTCAGGACTTTGGTTATTTTGCGCTTTGGCATGGCCATTTGTTTTGGACTTCCTTCGAGGAGCGGTTCTAGGTCTAGATTTTCTAGATTTTTAGTCATCTGATTAAAACAGTTAGAATAACATTAGATAGGTTTTTTATTACTTTATTCTAGTGTCCAGTGTGTACGATTTGTATTGATATTCTCATTTCTATGCGTGGTTCATTTTAGTATTTTTATTCAGACATAATTTACTAATAACTACTGCTACACAGAAAATTAAGAGATCCGCTAACTAATCTTCTTTTGCAGGAGTTAAAGTTATCAACTATATAAAAATATAATTTCCCAATACTAAAGATTTTTTTTCAAAATAAATTCACGAACCAGGCCTAATTATTAAAAAAAAAAACAACTCCATCTATAAATTAATGAAACTGCTTTTTTACTATAAGTAGAAATCCATCTTCTTGAAAATGTTAAAATAAACAAAACAGAAAATAACAAAGTGTTTAGCAACGCTTGTATTGGGTTGCTACGTATGTGCGCATCAATGGGAAACTTAAATCCATGGTGCACCATACAGCACTATTATTACATTAGTTATCCGCATATTTGGACATATTGAGTGTTTATAAACTGTTCATATTTTAATTAAGATGTGGTATTTAAAATGTTAGCTGAAAATAACATTCAATGCATGTTCGCTTAACATGAATTGCTGCCAATATAAATGAGAAACAATTGCTATACAAATTTGGCTTGATAATAGGGTGCCTAATTACAAATAAGAAACAGTGTAGATAACATTATCATTAGCCATAGGTATTGTTTTGCTATAAAATGGATGAGAATATGTATGAAAACGATACGGACGGGAAACAAAACGATTCCATTGTAACAATAGAAATTGGTCCGCATTTTACTGCCGTGTACGTGATGTTATCAATAGTGTTGCTCAGTATTGCGGGCAACAGCCTCGTTCTGTTCTCCTACCTTCGAGATCGTAGACTTCAGGTCATGTTTAATTTGTTTGTTATGAATCTGTCAGTCGCCGATATAATAATCAGTGAGTATTTTATTTCGTATGCCCAGTAGCGGTAGAGGGGGGGGGGGGGAGGTCGATCCTCACGGGGTGCCAAAATTTAGGCGGTGACACCGGGAAATTAAAAATAACAAAATATTAAGGGGAGAGGGGCCGTTGACGCTGAACCAAAATGCAACATTTTTGGAGGAGGGTGGGATGACGTCCCCAGTTACCATTCCGGGTGACACCCCACCTAGTGACGCCACTGTGCAGGTCTACACCGTGAGACACCATTTTAAAAAATAGGTGGGGGGTTGGGATGACACCAAGACGAGAATTGTACAAAATATACTGACGAAACCATAGTAACGGTCCATTACAGTTAGTAACTAATTAGAGATAATTACAATTTTAAGTATAGATTGACAACTCCCACTGAGGGAGGGGGGCAAGACAAAGAATAATATTGACAATACAATGGGTTTTCTTTTTCAGGTTAAAAAATGAGAGCTTATTATACTTGTATGTGCAGATTGACAACTTTCCAAACACATATTGATCCAAATTAATGCCCCCCCCCCCCCCCAAAAAAAAAACAAACACACACACACACACACACACACACACACACACTATTCCCATACGACAGTCCTGCTACTTTCTGTACAAGATTAGACCTAAGTCAAAACTTCAGAGATGCCACTCTATCCACATGAGCAAAGAATTCGCAATCCTAGGCAGAGGCGTAGCGAGGGGGGGGGGCGGGGGTGCGCACCGCACCGGGTGACACCATTTAGGGGTGTGACACCAAGGCAAAAAATGGTAAAATATATAGAGAAAAATTTGAGGGGGGGGGGTGCAAATCGAACGTTTGAGGGGAGGTGCAAATCGAAAGTTCGAAAGGGGGTGCAAATCGAAAATTGAAAGTTTGTCCCCGGGAAGAGTCTCTACGCCTCTGGGGGGTGACACCATTTGGTGCTGCACCGGGTGACACCCGACCTTGCTACGCCACTGATGCTAGGCATTATACGATTACTTTAATTAAAAAAATATATAAAAAAACAGTAGGCTATTTTTCCTTAACTGCATTATGGCTTTTGCTTTTAAAAAAAATTACCATAAGCAAAAAAAAAGAAACCCCACTTTATTACCACTTTGTTACAGTTTGAAGTGTTAAATATGACGTTATTTATATATATAAAAAAATTTGAAATCTATACTAATTGCATTGAATTTTCCCAGGCGTGTTTATCATCTTAGAAATACTCATCCTGTTTACAAATGTGAACGTTTTGATTGGTGGAAGTATTTTGTGTCACGTGAGTATAGCTATACACATTTCAGTACTGACGTGAAACACGCACTTTGAACAATAGTAAAGTTGTTTTCTAACCTGACGGTCCATGAAGTGAAGATAGAAGTTCACCTGTTTCTGTAAACTCGGCATATGTAGTGACATGAAATATACAATGCGAACAATAGTTAAGTTCCCTTTTTGAACCTAACAGTCCATGAAGATAAGGTCATAGTTCACATGATTCCGTGACCTCGGCATTTAAATGGATTGTGTGATCAACCGCCTTTACTTTCTCTAACGTGAGTTGGGTACCCATTAGAACTGGGTGGACTCAGGGACGTTCTACTGACTTGTACCCGGATTCGAACTCGAGACTTTTGGATAAGCATTCTAGCACTCTACCGCTAGGCCACGACGCCCCATCGATCCAGATCACATACATTGATAGTCAAGACCACAGTGTTTTTAAATGACAAGCCAATTTTACAAACATTAATCAAAATCAAATGTTTTTAGTATTCATAGACAACCCTTAAATAAGACGTCACTAATTAAACACTTGTCCGATGCAGATGTTTGCAGTGGTCATCAACGCCATCCCCCTCGAGCAGCTCCTAATTGGCCACCTTATGTGCAGCGACAGACGGGAGGCCATCCAGAGAAGACTCAAGTATGGCCAGAGGTCACAGCAGTGCCAGGCCGAAGCGCTCAAGCTGGCCATCACATGGGCCATCAGCTTCGTCACGAGCTTCGTCCTGACCAATGTAAATATAGCTCGTCCATATTCGTCCTGACCAGTGTAAATATGGCTCGTCCTGACCAATGTAAATATACCTCGTCCTTATTCGTCCTGACCAATGTAAATATGGCTCGTCCATATTCGTCCTGACCAATGTAAATATAGCTCGTCCATATTCGTCCTGACCAATGTAAATATGGCTCGTCCATATTCGTCCTGACCAATGTAAATATGGCTCGTCCATATTCGTCCTGACCAATGTAAATATACCTCGTCCATATTCGTCCTGACCAATGTAAATATACCTCGTCCATATTCGTCCTGACCAATGTAAATATAGCTCGTCAAACTTCGTCCTGACCAATGTAAATATAGCTCGTCCATATTCGTCCTGACCAATGTAAATATACCTCGTCCATCTTCGCCCTGACCAATGAAAATATAGCTCGTCCATCTTTGGACTGACCAATGTAAATATACCTCGTCCATATTCGCCCTGACCAATGTAAATATAGCTCGGCCATATTCGTCCTGACCAATGTAAATATAGCTCGTGTTAAATGGCTGAGTTAATACCAGCTTTGTCCTGACCAATATTAATATGCCTCGTGTTTAGTGGATGGGTTTTTTAAAAAGTCAAAAGATGTTGATTAAAAAGTGAAGTCACGGTAGGTCTGTTTCATATAACTACAGTTCTGTGAAATGAACGGACTAATATTGGTGTTTTCTGCTCCAGATGATGACTATTTTTAGAAAGTCTGAGTTCCGGTATTGCTTCCTGCCTGACCGTTTGCTCATCATCAGCAAATTGGCGTACGTGTATGAGATAGTTCTTTGCTGGCTGCTCTTCTCCATGCTGAGACTAGTGCATGAGTTCAGGTGGGTGCAAATAGTTCAGGTGGGTGCAAATAGTTCAGGTGGGTGCAAATAGTTCAGGTGGGTGCATATAGTTCAGGTAGGTGCAAATAGTTCAGGTAGGTGCAAATAGTTCAGGTGGGTGCAAATAGTTCAGGTAGGTACAAATAGTTCAGGTAGGTGCAAATAGTTCTTTGGACACGTTTTAGGAACAGAATTACTTGCAGTTTTTAGGACGATCAAAAAGATGTTGAATTTCAGTTAAAATATTTTTTAAAAGGATTTTATAAACTTTGTCGTAGTTGTTTTAAAAATATCTTTTGTAGGTATAGAGGTGTGTAGATAATAATTTAAACAGTAATTTGTAGGGTTTTTTAATAGGAAAAGTAAATTTAGTTTGTTGTAATCTTAACATGGTACCAGTGATTCTTTCAAACTTTTTTCTCCGGGAGGGGGGGGGGGGGGCGGAGTAAAATTTACTGAGGGGGGAGGGGTGGACACGGTTAAAACTATGTACTTTCTGTATAAATTCCATTTTCGTTCGGGGGGGGGGTGGTAGACCCCGAAGAGATGCCTGGAAGAAACTCTGTATGGTACACATTTTCCTGATATGAAATATCGAAATTTTGTTTGTAGAAAACTCCGCATGAGAAGGCCCTACATCTTTCGACTGTTTGACATGGAACCGGAGTTCGGCCGCGTCTCCAGCACGCACAGTGGGGAACTGGGCAGCAAACTCTCATCCCAGAGCCTGATCCCTCGCAGCCCCATCAGCCTGTTCAGACACGAGGAACCCATCATTCAGTCGTACGCCATGAAACTCAGGAACGTGGCACCAAGCGTGGTGCCGATCCTGGAGCCGCAGGCTTTGTGCAAGACTGCAGATCTCTCGTCAACGCATGCGGAAGATGCCGTGCAGTCCGGAATTTCAAAATCTTCACCAAAATCTTTAAAGTTTTATTCGTATCAGTCGATTCCGAGAAACAGGAGCGAGAAGTGTAGCGGACACGTAGAAGAGATGGAGAAAGTCGAGAAACTTGACAGCAGTGAACTCAAGCAATTCTTGCTGTGGAACAAAGAAGAGCTTCAGTTTTTTCCACACGCCAAGATTGTTGACCCGATGTGTGGAGTAGAAATACAAAACTTGAATCAGCTCGAGGAAAACACAGTTGCAGGCAATGGGTCGTTGGAAAACAGCTGGAGTAAACCGGAAACAGAATCAACTTTGGGGAAAAATCAACTGCGCAGGTCATCGATTTTTGAGCGTGGCAAAGGCGAGTCCCGTAAGTCTGTACGCATCGCGGAACTTGACGAAAGTAATAAAAGTCTGGAATTGGATGTAGATACTGTGATCCCAAGCGAATGCTCTCCTTTGAACTCGTCGATATCGGAAGATTACCCCACGGATATTCCTTTACCGCGCTTCAAACCAAGGACCGATTCCTTGTACACGCTCAAGTCCTGTATGAGCATATCTGAAGAGTCGTTGAAAGACGAGAGGACTGACCCGACAGATTCTTTGCTGATCGACGCTGAGCATGTAGACACGACCGAGCCACACGCTGGGCGAGTGAAGGAGTACCAGCATGAGACGAAGCTGTTCACCATCGGGGATGCCAACGAAGACGAGCTGAGCCAGGTGGGGAACTTGAAAACGTCACCAGAGAGCACGCTGGTCTCCTCAACGAACGCGCTAGCAGACGACAGCTCCCAGTGTTCTTTGATAGCGTCCATCCCAACACACGAGCAGAGTAATGAAAGCATCGAGAGCATTCACCGAGAGAGTGACCCGAAGATCAATATCCTGAACGATGATGCTTCAGGTAAAGTTGGGACTAATCTCGAGAGCACCACGATACGGCGAGAAGAAGTGGGTGAATTTTTAAAAGATGTTTCTCATGCTTTTGTTTATGGTGTGCTGCAGGCTCGCGAGGCTGAAGTTCTGGAAGAAACCGTTCCAGAGTCTACTTCCACGGCAATGCCAGAGGGTATGAGTCGCCCCAACACAAGCCTTCAACAAACACCCGGCAGCATCAACCTGGGGGAAGAGATCACTCTGCAAGACACGACGCCTGGTGTCCAAACCAGTGACCCAGCCTCGGCAGTTGAAGGTGAAACAGGCGGTGTCGACACCAACAACAGCGCAGGTCCCAGCAGCCTGACGCCAGACAGGTACCCCAGGAGACAAAGGCAACAAAACAAACCCCCTCTCAATGGGACTCACCGCGTGGAAGAGTCCATTCATAACAAGGAGGTAGCAGATGCCGCGAAGGAATGGATCACTTTCTACAACGTCCGGAATGTACCGAAGCAGTACACGATTGATAGTCTAGCTCTGGATGTTGGGTTGAGTGGAGTAGAGACGATGGCGTCGACTAGTGAAATCAGGAGCCTCTCCAAGTTGGTAGCTGATCGCGAAGCATCGTTGCTGAAAAGCAAAGTTTTGGAGCAGATTTCTTTGAGCCAGTTAGAGCATAAAGAGTATGATCGAATTCATTTTTTCAAACGCAAGGCAGACGAGACAGGGTTGAAACGTGGATGCGATGAGGTTCAGCAAGCTGTGGATTCTTGGATGGAGTTCTACAGCATAGATCCTCGTAAATTTTCATCACGCAACGTCAAAAGACTTGCAGACAACCACAGCTGCCAGACTGATCCAACAGGTTTTGAAAAATCTAACATTGAAGATCACAAAGCGCCTGAGAGTTTTGAAACCAATCCAAGCTTGGATGTTGAGATTGATATTCATGCATCGTTTAATGGAGGCTCGTATGAGCAGCGTTCAGTACCCGAGAGGTGTGGCGACGCGCATGACAGGAACCAACCAATGGAATTGTCAGCCTGTCAGGAAACCTTAGACAAGTTTGAATTAAAAGGTGACAAAAACAAACGGCCGCTCGAACTCTCGGAAATTTGTCTTCAGTTGAAATCATCGGACGATGCGATACTTGGGGAATCCGCTACGTTTATAAATGAAGGAAATGATAAGTTTTCTCGGCATGAAGGTATGATGATGCAAGGAGAACCTGATCTGGGCACCCAACAACACTCTGGTGATCGCTCAGCGTTCGTTAAGTCTAGACCACCATGTCAACCGTTTGAAGGGGATGACTGGGACCAAAGCTTCTTCTTCGATAGGGACCTGCAGCTTCCCCTCATGTTTGAGGTCTCGAGTGATGGCACTATAAAGGAAATAACCTCTCCGGACGCCCAAGAAGACCGTGTGGAACACTCAGAGCAGGCCATGATTTCTGGAGATTATAAAGGAGCCTCAGCACAGTCGCTGGTAAACATGCAGGCAAAACCGACTAGGACCCAGAAAGAGATTCTAGAGAAGTTAAGTATGGGAAGACGGGCCTATCTGGCTGAGCTAGGCTTGTATGGGGAGGTTATAGCTGGTCGCTTATCGCTGAGTGAGGATATGATCAACACAGAGGAATGTAAAGTGTGTCCGCATTGTAAGGAGAAGGGGGTCGATGACACGAAGGAAGTGACGTGGAGGATCCCGACCGAGGATGTCTTTCTCATAGACCAGATGCTGATGTGTGACAGTGATCAGGGTAAGTACGGTGGGCATCTGCTGTAGCAGAACTCTTGTTTTTTGGAGACGGTTGGACATTTTCTTACGACTTAGCTAAACAAAGTCTTGTTTTTTGGAGACGGTTGGACATTTTCTTTCAACTTAGCTAAACAAAAAGTCTTGTTTTTATTGGAGACGGTTGGACATTTTCTTTCAACTTAGCAAAACAAAGTCTAGTTCTTTAGTGCCAGTTGTCTTATGACTTAGCAAAACAAAGTCTTGTTTTTTAGAGACGGTTGGACATTTTCTTATGACTTAGCAAAACAAAAAGTCTGGGTCTTATTTATACCATCATCGAGACAGTGTACGGCGAGGTTAACCAATAGAGCAGACGATCGAGTAGAGCAGACGATCGAGTAGAGCAGACGATCGAGTAGAGCAGACGATCGAGTAGAGCAGACGATCTAGTAGAGCAGACAATCGAGTAGAGCAGACGATCGAGTAGAGCAGACGATCAAGTAGAGCAGACGATCGAGTAGGGCAGACGATCGAGTAGAGCAGACGATCGAGCAGAGCAGACGATCGAGTAGAGCAGACGATCGAGTAGAGCAGACGATCGAGTAGAGCAGACGATCGAGTAGAGCAGACGATCGAGTAGAGCAGACGATCGAGTAGAGCAGCCGATCGAGTAGAGCAGCCGATCGAGTAGAGCAGACGATCGAGTAGAGCAGACGATCGAGTAGAGCAGACGATCGAGTAGAGCAGACGATCGAGTTTGGTTCCCGGATCGGCACCCGCACGACGTTCTAGTAGTGGTACTGTAAGGCGGCCGGACATAGTGCTGACCATACAGTATGCACCCCTCTATTAGGCCAACCACTAATTAATTTTATCTTGTCACTAAAGTCAACTTGGTTTTCAATATGTCAACATTACGAGTATTTGTGAGGACAAGATTTTGTTTCTTCTGCAGGAGTACATACGAACCGTACGGCAAATAACCTGCTGGACGGAGGGGGCAAGTCAGCGGTTGGACGCCCTAAAAATAACAACCAATCATCGGCGTTTTTCATCACGGACATCGATGATACGTTTTACGCGTATGTGAAGTTTACAACCTTTATTAAAGGGATTTATAGTACATTTTCTAAGAATTCGCTATACTGTAAAATTTACATTATAGTAAATTTTGTGTTCACACGTTTTACTCGTATAATATACATCCTGTACTAAAGGGATTTACAGTAAATTATGTGATAACACGTTTTACAAGTATGTCCAGTTCAGTGGCGTAGCGACCCTTCCCGGCGCCCGGGGACAAACTTTTCGATTTGCACCCCCCCTCGAGATTTCCATTTCCACCCCCCCCCCCCTCAAACTTTCGATTTCCAACGCCCTCAAACTTTCGATTTGCACCCCCTCCCCCTCGAGATTTCCATTTCCACCCCCCCCCCCCCCTCAAACTTTCGATTTCCAACGCACTCAAACTTTCAATTTCTTTTTCCAACCCATTTTGGCGCCCCCTAAGGTCGGCGCCCGGGGACATATGTCCCCCCGCCCCCCCCCCCCCCCCTCGCTACGCTACTGGTCCAGTTTACGTCCTTTACTAAACGAGTTGATAGTAAATTATGTCGGCACCAACGTTTAAAGTTTATAGATCTATAAGCTATTTTGTTAAGAGTCATTCAGTAGCGTAGACATGGCTATCTTATTTGAAACCAACTAATATTGGTCAAAAACATACCATTGCGATCGTCTTTTTTTTGTGCTCATAAAGGGCTAAAGCTGCTACCCTTCCCCTACAAACAAGCACATACACACACCTCCAGTTTAATTTTATTTTAACATCCGCAGCCTAGATGTAAGAATCCTAACAGTGTTTCTTTCATGCACCTCTCTGGGATTAGTGGGGGGTGGTATCACTGCCTCTCCCCCATTGAGAAATCTTCAAAGCCCCCCCCCCCCCCCTTTCCTTAGGAGAAATGTCTGAAAGAAACACTATATCCTACCTTACTGTGCCAGATTACAAGGCTGACCACATTTCGAGTCCGATAAATCCCACTCATTACATTATCCCACTCATGGCATTATCCCACTCATGGCATTATCCCACACATGACATTATCCAACTCATGGCATTATCCCACTCATGACATTATCCAACTCATGACATTATCCCACTCATGACATTATCCAACTCATGACATTATCCCACTCATGACATTATCCCACTTATGACATTATCCCACTCATGACATTATCCAACTCATGACATTATCCCACTCATGACATTATCCCACTTATGACATTATCCCACTCATGACATTATCCAACTCATGACATTATCCCACTCATGACATTATCCCACTCATGACATTATCCCACTCATAAGATTATCCCACTCATGACATTATCCCACTCATAAGATTATCCAACTCATGACATTATCCCACTCATGACATTATCCAACTCATGACATTATCCCACTCATGACATTATTCCACTCATGACATTATCCCACTTATGACATTATCCCACTCATGACATTATCCAACTCATGACATTATCCCACTCATGACATTATCCAACTCATGACATTATCCCACTCATGACATTATCCCACTCATGACATTATCCCACTCATAAGATTATCCCACTCATGACATTATCCCACTCATAAGATTATCCAACTCATGACATTATCCCACTCATGACATTATCCAACTCATGACATTATCCCACTCATGACATTATCCCACTCATGACATTATCCCACTTATGACATTATCCCACTCATGACATTATCCCACTCATGACATTATCCCACTCATGACATTATCCCACTCATGACATTATCCCACTCATAAGATTATCCAACTCATGACATTATCCCACTCATGACATTATCCCACTCATAAGATTATCCCACTCATGACATTATCCCACTTATAAGATTATCCCACTCATGACATTATCCCACTCATAAGATTATCCAACTCACGACATTATCCCACTCATGACATTATCCCACTCATGACATTATCCCACTCATAAGATTATCCCACTCATGACATTATCCCGCTCATAAGATTATCCCACTCATGACATTATCCAACTCATGGCATTATCCCACTCATGACATTATCCCACTCATGATATTATCCCACTCATGACATTATCCCACTCATAAGATTATCCAACTCATGACATTATCCCACTCATGACATTATCCCACTCATTACATTATCCCACTCATAAGATTATCCCACTCATGACATTATCCCACTTATAAGATTATCCCACTCATGACATTATCCCACTCATAAGATTATCCAACTCACTACCTTATCCCACTCATGACATTATCCCACTCATGACATTATCCCACTCATAAGATTATCCCACTCATGACATTATCCCACTCATAAGATTATCCAACTCATGACATTATCCAACTCATGGCATTATCCCACTCATGACATTATCCCACTCATGATATTATCCCACTCATGACATTACCCACTCATGACAAGCCACTAACAAGCTTCCCTGTTACCCCCCCCCCCCCCCATCAGCTCTAGAAACAAGGTGTGTACCCCCCGTCGGTGCCTGACTCACATGTGGAAGAAATGTAAACTGGTCAACTTTGAAACTGTGATGACGCGAGATCCCGAGTTGAGCATTCTACTTTGTTTTCTTTTCATTCTCTTCGTCCAGGTAAACTCTGTCTATGTGCCGATGTTTGGTTTTATATGTGTGCTGGTATGTATGATGTATGTTCGTATGTGTCTGTGTTATGTGTCATCGATGTGCTAGTATGTATTTTCGTATGTGTTTTCATTGGCCAGTTATTTTCTGTGTGTGTATGATTGGTGTCGTTATTGGCCGGTTATTTTCTGTGTATGTGTATGATTGGTGTCTTCATTGGCCGGTTATTTTCTGTGTGTGCATGACTGGTGTCGTCATTGGCTGGTTATTTTCTGTGTATGAGTGGTGTCCCCGTTACTTTTATGTATGGATCTGATAGGTTCAACTAAATAAAGATATGGTGTTGTATAACTTCACAGTTTACCTGTTGGTTTCCTATCACGACACTGTACATCGTGTACGACATCCGGGGTTTTCCCGTCATGATCACCAAAACTGAGATGATCTTCATGATCCTCTGGTGCGCGCGCATGGCCATCCAGCCCTTCATCTACGTCTACTACTCCAAGTGTTACCGGAAGAACTTTGTTGATTTGATTTGCTGTTGCTTTAAGCGATAGGTTACACCTTTGTTGTGGTTGGGCGAACACCCCACTGTATCGGTGACATTGTTGGAACAGTAAACATAATAGGCTGGAGAGGGTGGTGATTCTCATTGATATTAGTGTTCACTTCATGTTTCGTCATTAAAAGTTAAAAAAAAAACACATTTATTTTGATGTTTTGGATTTTGGTAACAAGGCTTCGTTCGTAGTAACTTGAGTTTCTTCCAAGCATCTTTTTGGTGGAGGGAGGATGGATAAAAACGGAAAAATTTTTTTATAAAGAAATATACCCCCCCCCCCCCCTCCTTCCGGAAATTGAATTGTGAAAGTATATAAATTCGGATTCCTGGCCCGTTGAACATCCCTGAGACGACCCATCTCTGATGGGTAGGCCTACTTGGCTTATGGTAGGGAAAGTAAAGGCAGGGGGCATAGAACTGACCACTCTATCCCTTTATATGCGCAGGTTACGGAAACAAATGGTTCTACTTCGTCTGCCCATGGACCGCCAAATACCAATAGTAATGTGCATTCAACTTCAAAACAACTTTCAAATACTTAAAACTGTCGTTTTATTTAATCTAAATTTTAAACTATGCTAACTTTTATGTAGGTCAACTTAAAATTAAATGAACTTTTAGTTATCACACGGGTTATTTTTAACGCTTTTAAAGACCACGCACTACCCATTGTCACACATTGTCGCACATAACTAGACACCTCCCCCTCCCCGTCCCCAGTGGCGTAGCGAGGTCGGGTGTCACCCGGTGCGGCACTTAATGGTGTCACCCCCCCCCCCCCCCCAGATGCGTAGCGACCCTTCTCGGGGACAAACTTTCAAATTTTCGATTTGCACCCCCCTCCCTTCAAATTTTTCTCTATATATTTTGCTATTTTTTGCCTTGGTGTCACCCCCCTAAATGGTGTCACCCAGTGCGGACCGCACCCCCGCCCCCCCCTCGCTACGCCTCTGCCCGTCCCTAAAATGACGTCTACTACCCGCATCAAAATTGCTGCTTATTTTTTTTTTTTTTCAAAACAACGATTTCTTTCTAATCTATTTACTGAGCTCGGGCAACGTTGGTATGTTAATCGATGTATTGATATAATTAGCATAAAAAGTCTATCCGGTTATTTCTGCTATTGCTTTAAACAAAAAGTGTTTCGTTACACGTTTTGACCCCCTCCCCTCTTTCCCGTCATAACAAGCCGCCTCTCCACCCCTATGAGTGTGAAACGTAAATTATTAGCGACACCCACGGACCTACCAATGAAATTACCATTTAGAGGCTTACTATCTATCTTACTATTACTATTTTGCTTTGAAAAAAAAAGAAGAAACAAAAAGACACCACCTCAACTGCCTCTTAATTTTTTTCGAAGCCTAATATTTCTTTGGTCTGTTTCCCACGTAGGCTTACATAAAGCCTCAAATTTACTAGTAATAATCCCAGAACCCTTTGCTCACAGACAACAGAATGACCAAATTGGCTTATTTAGGGCTATTTAGTTTTAAACCAAAATCTACCAACCATAAATTAAATACCGATAAAATATTCGAATAGCTCCAATATATATATATATATATATATATATATATATATATATATATATATATATATATATATATATATATATTATATACATCTGGTTTTAAATCAGTCATTGAAAGTAAATATTGCAGTCGATTAAATACTTCTAGTTGAATGCCTAATTCATTTTTACTTAATTTTAGTAACATTTTAATCGAACAACCAAATGAAAAAAATAGTAGTTTGTGTCAAATGTTTGTAAGAATTTTTGTAAGAAAAGATTTAAGTTAAAGAGATAATCTAGGTGTGAATTCGGAAATGTGTAAGTTGTCTGCTAACTTTAATAAACGTTTATCTGGCAACCAGGTCGGATGTATACGACGAGTGCTGTTAAAGTGAATGGGGGTCTTCCGGGAATGTGAAAGAAAGTGTTTGTAAAATTTATAGAATGAAAAAGAATCAAAACAAAATGCATCTATTTTACACTTTACTTGTGTTAGGAGTAGGCTCTGTAGCAGCCCAGAATTCGGGTGGGTCTCGTGTACCTTGCTATGATAGACAAGGAAATGCACAAAGGTGTCAACCGCCTTTTCAAAATGCTGCGTTTGGCAAAAATATTGAGGCCACCAATACTTGTGGCATAACCAAACCAACAGAATACTGCATGCAGACTGGTACCGGCGCCGATGTAAGCGCTGTTAAAAAATACTGTTATGTGTGTGATAATTCACATCCACAAAGAAAGCACCCAACATCTTACTTGTCGGATTTTAATAGCTTAGAAACTGTGACTTGGTGGCAAAGTGAAACTATGTTGGAAGGAATGCAGTATCCAACAGTTGTAAACCTGACGCTTAATCTCAGTGAGTATTAAACTACCAATTTCAAATTTGTATCTCAACTTAATAGATTTACCAGCATAATTGAAATCTGCTTTAAAAGTGGGGGATTACTAGATCTAGAGTAAACTGTAAAGTGGCCTCTGCAGATAGTTTCCCCCGTGCTGACGCCCTGCTCATTGCTGCTTTTCGCTTACTATAATAATTGTATGAAGTATGAATGTTTTGAATGACACTACGCATGTCCATTTTTAAACACATCTGGGTCAATTTCTTACATTTCACTCCTATAGGAATTTTATTGGAATTTTTTGAAGTTGCGAGGTATGACGTTTTATGTAGGTAACATCACCCGGATGAAGAGCACTAGGCCCCAGATTAGAGGAATAAATCGAACCAATCATAGCTTATAGAACTGGGTTAACTATAAATAGCTCATATATAGGCCCTATATATAGAATTAGAAAGCTATAAATATCATAGTTAAGGTTAATCAAGCTATCTTAGAGGAAAAATTGGGGTGTCCGCTTCAGGGATATACTTTTTGGAGGGTTAACCTTTTTGCAGACACTAACGAAAAATTAGAGTATATTACTTACACTTTAAGTAAAAAGGAGCTTTAAACTAATCTTGATACTCTAGATCTATATTTAAATCTAAGTCTAAATCTATAGGCCTAAGTTTTTTTAAAATGTTTAAAGGATTTAAAGATATTTTAGATCATCAATCTCTACAAACATGTCTACTAAGCAAAAAGTGAAATAAAATCTCTATCGGGTCCTGAGTTTCTTCCAGGCATCTCTTTAGCTTCGCCCCCAGAAAGTCTACAGCCCCCGCCACCCCGCGAACGAAATGGAATTTATATTGAATACAAATACTATTACCAGTGTCCACCCGTCCACCCACTCCTCTCCAAAAAACCAAGTGCCCCCACCCCCTCGGAGAGAAAAGTCTGGAACGCTGATCAGGTCTCACCTGACCCTGAAATTGTTAAAATTGCTGTAGCAACCATCCAATCCAAAATTATCAGTAAGGGAAGCAGCTTCCAAATTAGAATTCCTAGCTACATGTTTGATTACTGTAAATTGATGTTGTATTTCTACATCGCGGTTTAGAAAAATCTAGATCTAAATTTAATTAAAACTTATTTCATATTTCTTCATATTTTTTGTTTTCCGATATATTAATTTATAAAACAATCATCAACACTATTTATTATGTGTAACATATTTATTTCAATTATTTAAATAAGAAACAAAACGAACAAAATATGCTTTGTCTGCATAAGAATCAAGTGTGTGCATAAAAAATAACATTCCATAAAAGTCTGCGTGGAGTCTCACCACTAAAAATTTTAATATATCCAACGCTATTTCTGTCCACAGACGCCACTTTACTTTAGATCTAGTTATTTTAGGCCAGGCTAATGATCAAATGTATTATTTATTTATGTAACTAAGACTGCACTTCAGAGTAGACTTTCTAAATCACCATGTCTTTTGCAGAACTTGGTAAAATGTGAGACATGAAATGGTGAGAAGTGTGCAAAAACTGTCACGTGACATGTTTGTCTAGCATTTTCTATAACATATGCTTAATTAATGTGGGTAAATTTCGCTAATATCTGCGAAAATTTTATTCCCCCCGAATCCCAACATACTAAAAATTTACATAAATCTTGATGCAGACTTTAATATTTAAATACTTTATTTAAGTTGGTTAAGTGGGGATGATTATAGATACAGGTGTCCGATAATAGACTCTTCCATAAAATAGGTGTGTTGGGTTGTTAGTAGTATTGTAGTCTCGACTAATTTTATGGTTAGAAATTAGGGTTAGGGGCAGGGTTAGCATTGACATTAGCCAGCCATATGTGTATTTAGTTAACTACCAGTAACCTAACACCCCTTTTTTTAAAGAAGACTCCATTTTCGGACAGGATAGAGCAATGTAATTAAATTAGTACAATTTTGAGGGGGTGTGTGTATTTTAGATTGTACACATTCAGAACAGAGAGACACTGGATGGAGAAGAAAAATATTACATTATATGTTCTATACAGTAAATTTTTAAATAACAACTGGAAATGGAATAAATTTAAATAGACTTGAAAAAAAATTAATTTTATTAGTCTATTAATTTTTTTTCATCACAACCAATAGAACACAGATTTGTCATTAAGTAGTAATAATGTTGTCTTGCATTGTCATTGATTACTTAAGGATTTTTTAAATTACATAAATTACAATAATTAAACAGCTATACCCATAGACTGATGTTTACATATTTATTTGTATTATTTTATTAGTAGACCTGTTTATTACACCAGCTTTAGCATACTGTAAGAAAATGGTACAGCTTAATGGTTTGTGAACTAGGAATACTAGTCTATTTACTTAACAAAGTTGCTAAAATGAAAATAGTCATTCTAATTCTATGGTATTAATCATAATATATATACAACTATGTATAAATACTGCCAGCTTGCAGCAGCTGATGATAATTAAGTAATCTTTGACATGTTTTGTACTAATGGTACATCACATTATATTTGACAGCAGCTCTCTCTAATAGTTTATTGTTTTTATCAGCGTTTGCAAAAAAAAATAGTTAGCAGAGGCATAAACAGTTAAGATGTAGATCTAGTAGAAGATTGCTGGAATTGTGGGATTACGCTGGTAATGGGCTGTTTCCTGTCTTGAAGTGAATGTGCCAGTAAAGTCTGTTGTAGTGGTTACACTGCTGTTATTTTTTCTTCGTGTGATTGGTCTGTTTGGTTGCAATTTAACTATTTTAATGGATTTAAATGTTTTGTTGTGTTTTCATGATTAAAGCTTGCATTCTATTGACACTATTTTTTAAATTTTAGTAAATGAAAACTTAGCAAATGGTTAATAGTAATAGTCGTTAATATTTGATGGGTTTTAATCAAAATGTTTTTTACCTAAGATTTAGTTATTTGTTTAAAAAGATTTATTTACCACGATATACATTTCATCTTACAGAAAAAGCCTTTGACATAACTTATGTCAATTTGAAGTTCCACTCACCGAGGCCGGAAAGCTTTGCTATTTATAAGCGTACAACTGAGGATGGGCCGTGGATACCATACCAGTTCTACAGTGCTACATGTGAAGACACATTCCAGCTGCCCCGTAGGGGTATCATTACCAAGGCCACAGAGGACCAAGCTGTCTGCAGCAATGAGTTCAGTGATATCAGTCCACTGTATGGAGGCACTGTGGCTTTTAGTACACTTGAAGGCAGACCTAGTATGTTTGAGTTTAGCAACAGTACCAAGTTGCAGGTAACACTTTTTTTTATCATGTATTTTTAAAAATTTCACTGTTTAATTAGCTAGTGGCTTCACTAGGTTATTTGACAACCTGTGCGGTAACAGAGGGTGTCATTCCCCACCTTGGCTTAAGAACTTGTATAGGATGTACTAAAACTGTAGATAATTTGGTGTCACCCTATCCCTAATGATTAAAATAACTGTAATCAGCTCTTAAGCTAGTTGCAAAAACAGACTTCCTTATTCAAAATAAATGAACTATTTTTTTGTTTTGGTGTCCCTCCAATGGATGGTGTCACCTGATATGATCAGCAACCCCTACCACCCTCTTTTGATGCTACAGCAGTACTTTTCTTTTGTGGCAACATATATTGTCTTTTAATTATTATCAGCTTTAATCTGTAAGGTTTTCCTTGGGTAAAATCTATGGAGAAGGTTAGAATGGATTGAAATTGAATAGTTATTGGAATAAAGTTCACATAGTTTAGTCACAATAACTCTACTTCATATGTTCTTGTATAGGTGAATCTTGCTTTCCCTAAGTGTTGTCATGTATCCTTAGAGCATGAGGTCACTTATCATCTTGGCCCTAATGTGCCCCGGACACATTGGGCCTCTCATGTGGTCACTGGTGTGTTATAAAGCTTAATTACTAAAAGCTTCATCAATAAGACAGTGAGAATGTATATGATTCATGATGGGCGAAGTTAAAACCCAGCATTTCATAAAATGCCTGTAGGCTGTAGGGGGGGGGGCAGACATGGTGAATTTTATCAAATGAGTTTGTAGCTTAACCTAAACCATAACCCTATCTTGTGAGGTTTAAGGTAATTGACAGGTGGACAAAATGTCCAAACATAAGTTTTTTTAGCAATACTGATGCAGTTTCATCTTTTAGACATTGGACAATTACAATAATTTAAAAAGAAAATAGATTTTTCATTCCTTTTTAAAGCTAAGTTCCTCATTTAATGTCAAACTTGTACTTAATGGATGTATATTTGTCAATGAATGTCAAGCTTACACTGAATGGATGTATTTTTGTACAATCTAGTGGTCCTAGAAGTAAAATTGACTTGAATGGTTTAGTGTAGCTTTATTTTTTCCTGTGCTACTCCTTAATCCCACACAAACACTTGACTGAAGTTGATAACGCAGCTAATAAATGGAGCATCTGTTCAACATTAGAGCCGCTGACTACCCATAATATGCATCCATAAGTGTCCATATTCAAATAACTTTAATATAGGCATATAAGCTTTAGAACTAATTGACATTTTCAAGTACACTCTCATCAGTTTAAAAGTGTAGATCCACTACATTTTACTAAACAGATAAAATAGGTCTTTAATTGACACTCTATCCTCAGTATCTCCACTCAGCTGCTTTGACCAATTTTTTGTATTTTAAAGTTCCTGGTTATTAAATTTGTATTAATATTGGATATTGTTTATAAGTCAAATAAATAGGCCTTATATATGAATCTGAGAGTAATTTACTAAAGCTTCTTGAGTTTAAGGTGTCTTCGGATGCCTGTTTGGATAAAAAAAAAACGTCTAGAATTTCTTGATTGAAACCGGCAATCTCCCCCCCCCTCCTCCCTCTCCCACCCCCATGCCACGGGATATTTGTACTTCTACGTGCACCTGCTCACTGGTGTTCTTATTTAACTTCTTGTGTTGCTTTGTTCTAATTTCTCATTCCTTGTAAAAAAATTACATTGGAAAGTTTCCCCAAGTGGTTGTTGGTATGTACTGTGTCAACTGTACTTTTCTTTTATACATTCCACCCTTCTCGCCCCACCCCTCCCTCTTAAAACATGTATTAGCTGCTGACTTTTGGTCAGATGTCTGCTAGACCAGTGTAAAGTAGGTCAGCTAAATCTGGCCTGGAGGCGGCGTCTACCCATGTAACTCAGCACTTGAGAGAGCGTAGCGGGCCTGTCTACTGGACGGACACATTTTTTTAATCGTCGTGGTGGTAAGAGGGGGGGGGGGGGGGCGCGGCTGATTCAATCAGTCAATATGTTACCCTATGGTTCTCTCCCCTTTCCACACTGGTAAAAGCGGTCACCTTTAGCCCCTTGATACGGCCGTATTGTGTGCGGTAATGGCACTTGAAAAGTTTGATACGCTTTCTAGTTATCAACAATGAAATATGGCTGTGCTGGGCTGTTTAATTAGGCCTACAAGTTGTGGAATATGAGTGGTAGTTGTATCTTTCTCATCACATTACGCGATCGTAGGATCTGGCCGGATCGTTATAGAAAGAAAACCCAACAACGACTAATGATGTTTCAAGGTTAATTATTTTCTCAGATTGAGCAGTATCTGTTAACAAAGCGCTAAATATAAATGTTATTTTGTTTCCATAACGACCTTTCTTCTATTACGCAACTTTCTAGTACGAGTGAGATGATTTGCATGAAATATCCGCGCGATCTTTATTTCCTAGCGTCAAAAATTTTTTACTCGAGCGGAAGGTTCCATTCACCGTTTCGATTATCTAAGACAGATGATACCAGGTTAATTAACCTCTGACCTGACCCTTTTATCATTAGTCCTAATGAGGCTGTTTCCCCACCCTCATATTTGAAGATAAAATTATGACAATGTTTCGTCTGTATTACATGCGAAGTGTGGGTTCCATTTAAAACGGTGATTAGACAATACAATGTAGTTTCATGTGTTTTTTTTAAAATCTAAATAAACGATACTGTCATTCAGTAGCAAATAAATATAATGAAAAATAAAAAAAGTTTCAGTAAGACATTCCGGCGTTTTGTTTTTACCATTGTGTAATGGTATAACATATTTGAGAAGAGCTTTGAGCATTTGATTGAAATCTTCTGAAACTTAAAAAGACCACCCTTGAGATTTGGAGAGCATGCTAACGATTGTTTTAACGACATTAGTTCCGCTATTGCCCAATGTTATTGTTTCATTCAGTGGTTTCAGATTTTTTCTGCAACCCCCCCCCCCTCCCGCCCCCGTGCTTCCGGTATCATGCAGCGCTTTCAAATGTTGATCAAGCTCTCGTCTCACGTACGTCTGACTCATCATCACCGGGCACGCCGTGTGCCGTGGCAGTGCCCGTCCAACGTTGATTAGCATGTATCTACAGATAAACTCACCTACATGTCTGTAACATAGTCGGGCGAAAGCTGTTATATACCCACATACGGTATAGACCTTCAACTTACTCTCATGTCTTTAACTTATTTACCATGTCTTTTGTACTAAGGGGTCGTACATAAATGACGTCACACTCGAAGGGGTGGGTCCGGTCCGTAATTTTGTGACGGTGTGATGAGGGGGGGGGGGGAGTTCAGATGGTGTGACGTCACACTTTTGGATTATAAAAAAGCAATGTTAGAAAACGAATTGTAGCCGTTATTTCGCGTTTTAGAAAACTGTTTTCATAAATTGTAATCGGAATGGATTAAAATACTCTATGTTGACAGAGTTAGACAAGATTTTGGAAAAAATATCGATGTTTAAAGAACAATTCAACTGCAATTTTGAGGGGGGGGGGTTGTAGGCTGTAGTGTGACGTCATTTTAGGGGTGGGGGTCTGGCTTTTTGTGACGATGTGTGACGGAGGGGAGGTAAAAATCGTCAAAAAAGCGTGACGTCATTTATGGATGATTCTCTAAGAATTGTGGGATCTTGTCTAGATAATCTCGGCAAAAAGTTAAACTCGCCACACAGACAAAAAAAAAACAAAAAACAAAACAACGTGTACTTTAATATTTTATTGAAGGGTGAAATGGGACATGCCATTAATAATTAGCATGAAATGGTCTGTATTTCGGTTATACTAACCCTCAAGGTTTCGTGCGTGCACAAAGTTGGAGCTGGCAAAAAAGTGGCGGGGCTTAACTTAGTGTGCTTGCACTTTTTGCAGTAATTTCGGGGCTTATCTAGTCATGTCAGACTGTGACATTTCATGATTTGTCCCATTGTGCTGATACTCATTTTCTAAATGTAAAAAGCAGGGGGGCCGGTCTATATGAGTAATGGGACCAATTACCCGATCGGACCATGGAGAGGGAGGGTATGGTGGAGTTGGTAATTACTTATGTCACTCTTTCAGTGACCCCCACACATCTGATGTCAAAGATAATACAGTACTTCTTACTTAAGCTTTATCTTAAGTTAACATTTATCCAGGTGGTTGCTAAAGAATAGAAAAGTATAGTGAATATCCAGAATAAAGGGAAATCACTCTGAACTTCTCTTTGTGCTGAAATTATTAGCCTACAAAGAAAATGAGTTTTTAAAAACAATTTTGCAAGCATTGACAGCTGCAGCTGTACTGTTTATTAAAGAAACATTTCATTACTAAAAAGGTTTTAACATTTTTTCTTACATTGTTATTCTGATTAAACCACATTTTTATTACTATATATATAATATGCTGTGAAATATGTATAGAGCACAATTAAAATTTACCCCAAACTGTATATCAAATTTACTATGGGGGGATGGGATGGTGTACATGACTGATTTAACATTCATCTTGTGTATCCCTCTGTTACAAACATTGTGTGTGGGGGGGGGGGGAGGGTGGTGGTGGTGTACATGACTGATTTAACATTCATCTTGTGTATCCCTGTTACAAACATTGTGTGGGGGGTGGTGTACATGACTGATTTAACATTCATCTTGTGTATCCCTCTGTTACAAACATTGTGTGGGGGGTGGTGTACATGACTGATTTAACATTCATCTTGTGTATCCCTCTGTTACAAACATTGTGTGGGGGGTGGTGTACATGACTGATTTAACATTCATCTTGTGTATCCCTCTGTTACAAACATTGTGTGGGGGGTGGTGTACATGACTGATTTAACATTCATCTTGTGTATCCCTCTGTTAAAAACATTCTGTGTGGGATAGAGTTTATTTGCCTTGGTCACTGGGCACATTATTTCTGGTGAATAAACCCAATCAGGCAATGATAAACTTAGAGTGGAGCTTAAGATTTATTTATGGCTTATAGGCCTAAGGTGTAGGTCACCTAATTGGGCCAAGTATGTGATTACTCTGTGTTGCCTTATAGGTAACACTAATGGGACATAACTTGCTGTATTAGCCTGACTCACCACAAGTTCTTTTTTGTCAGAGTTGTCTTTTCATAACACATTTAAAAAAAAATACATATTTATAGTAGTACTGTAGGACAGTGTTATAATTTTTATAAAATAAATCTAGCCACTCATGGACATCTAGACATCTTTCTGAATAAGGGTACTATTAGCAAAAATTGAAACATTAATTAGTTATTATACATTAGTAACAAGAATATTAAAACTGTTACTCATTAATGAATGCTGCCAATAAAGTTCAATCTAACAGTAGGCCCTTATTCTCTTACCTTATATGTTATTTGAGACCGTTCATACCTATCTTAGGTTTCTTGTTCACTGTAGCTGTTGATTGTTTTATTACTGCTGTAAATACCTTAGGCATTGTTAATAAATTCTTATTTAAAAAAAAACAATACTCACTATGTAATCCATATTTCTGATATACCATACTGCTAGTTTTGATAGTTTAGAGTGTACAGAATTTGATTTTGTGTACTCTGCTAGGAATGGGTAACAGCTACAGACATCAGGATAGTGCTGACTCGAATGAACACATTTGGTGATGAAGTGTTTGGTGATGCTCAGGTGCTCAAGTCATACTTCTATGCTATTTCTGATTTTGCTGTTGGTGCCAGGTACTCTACTCTTTTTGTACCTAATGAATTCCTAATATGTATCACTAATTGTGTTGGTTACTTCCAGGTACCCAACATATAGAATGCCTAATTAATTGATTACTTTAAGTTTTTAGTGTCACTCGACTTAAAAAAGCTTCTGAAAATCTTGCAGGTGTAAGTGTAATGGCCATGCTAGTGAGTGTGCTTTAGTGAAGGGACAAGACCTACAGGACAGGCTGATGTGCGTGTGTGAGCACAATACTACAGGAGCTGATTGTGAGAAGTGCCTTCCCTTCTATAATGACCGCCCATGGGGGAGAGCAACTGAATTCAATGTTAATGAATGCAAGGGTGAGGTTTTCTCTTGAATTAATATACATCAGATGAATACTAACACAGAGATATGGGTTTACAGTTCTAAAAAAATGGTGGCTTCTCTATAGTCTAATATGGTAGAAGGTAACTGAAAAAAAACTGTTTAAAAACTAATGGCTACTATGTTTAGTATTTGCCTTAATTTTGTTGATCCACTTTTTACATTTGTCATGCAGCTTTCGGATTACTAAGGTAAGTTCCCAACATGCTCCTGGTGTTTTGGTTTTATTTACAGCTGTTTGAGGGTAATACAGTTTTTACAAGATATTTTTTACATTGTTCATGTTGCAAAAAATTGTGCTGCGATGCAGTTTTACACTTTACATTTTGAGTTTTAACACTTCAAAAAAAAAATTACTTTAAGTTGGCATTCTGTTTATATCTACTTTGTAAAATTACTTTAATTTTTTTTTTTACAATTTTTTTTTGCAGATGTTTGTTTCTTTTGTTTTCTATTGTTGGAATGTAGTTGCAAATATTTAAAATGAATCCATACATTTTTGTTTTCATCAATCTTTATTTCAAACGTGGTAAAACAGTGGTCTGTTTAACCATTCCCTACTTTCTTTTTATTAATCATATTTTGGAATGTTTTTTTTTTATACATAATTTTAAATTTATGGTTTGATTTTTAACTTTATAAAATGTTTATTTACAATTGCATAAACAAATAAGAGGTATAACAACTTTTGACCATCTTTTTAAAAAAAAGATTCTTAGCAATTCAACATTTAATTTACAACTGCTTGTAACATTAAACTCTATTTTAATAATATACTAATGATTTTTTTCCTTTGTTCTGTGTTCTAAATTAGAAGTGTAATTAATTAGTACAAGTGAGAGTAATTCTAGCATAAAGTAATGATTGATTCCCATGTTTGTTTGATTCTGTAGCCTGTGACTGCAATGGCCTGTCAGACACCTGTGAGTTTGACCCTGACCTGTTCCGTACCACTGGACACGGTGGCAGGTGTACCAACTGCAGGGACTACACTGATGGTGTCCACTGTGAGCTGTGTAAAGAAAACTACTACAGGCATGAGGGGGAGTGTCTGGCTTGTTCCTGCCACCCCATAGGTCAGTTATTTTTTTTTTTTTTCTGTGCTTACTGGGGTAGTGAAATTAAAACACATGATTATTATTAGAAAGAAACTAAAACTATTGGAAAGAAATGGTAAAATAGCATCGGACTGAAAAATTATGTAAGGATGTTGTAAATATTATCCTCTACAGAAGTCGCAGGACAGAAGCAAAATGAATTCTTATTTCATTTACTGACCACAGGGTCAAAAAGGGCAATCACACTTTTTACTAGAAATTTTGATGAATTACTGTACTCTGAATACAGTTACTACAATACTTTGAATGTCAGTATTGTTATAGTTCTACGGTACTATATGTTAATCCTACTGTAACTGGACAGCAGAAATATGAATATTTTGTTATATTTGAAATCTGATGTAATATGTTTTATTAAAGTGTAAAAAATGTGGTTGGCATTATGAATGTTTCAACAGGACAATACACTATTCTAAGTACTGCACAGTATTTTAATTGTAAACATTTTAATACTTAAATGTTTCCCTAGGTTCCAGATCTCTACAGTGACAATACTCTAAGTACTGCACAGTATTTCAGTTGTAAACATTTTAATACTTGAATGTTTCCCTAGGTTCCAGATCTCTACAGTGACAATACTCTATTCTAAGTACTGCACAGTATTTTAATTGTAAACATTTTAAAACTTCCCTAGGTTCCAGATCACTACAGTGTGACAACAGTGGACAGTGTCTGTGTAAGCCAGGTGTAGGAGGACAAAGGTGTGATCGCTGTCTGCCCAACTTCTATGACTACAGCGACAATGGATGCCAGTAAGTACCTGTCTCTATTATTTTATTCATGCTGAATATACATGGTTCTGTTCAACAGTGTGTCCTTAAGCTCTCATAGTCTTTTTCAGGGCTTGAGCTACATTTTCAAATTTAAATTTAAATTGCTAAAATCTAACTGAAATAACTCCTCATATTATTTGAAACACATTTTAGTTTTTCAAAATATTTTTTTATAAATTTTATTTGAAACATTTTTTAGTACCTCAAAACGACTGTATCAGGGTTTTATGAAAGGAGAATTCCTACTTTATGTAAGCAATAATCTAAAAGATTAAAAAAATTAGATGGATCAGTTGTAACAAATCTGTATTTGAGTTGATTTGCCCATACAGCCATTGAGTCAGCAGTTAAACATGTCTGTAGTATGCAGTAAAGATTTCTCTCTTGAGTTGATTTGACCATACAGCCATTGAGTCAGCAGTTAAACATGTCTGTAGTATGCAGTAAAGATTTCTCTCTTCCTCCCCAGACCTTGTGACTGTTTGGTTGCTGGGAGCCTGGACAACATACCTAGGTGCAACCCCACAACTGGCCTGTGTAGCTGTAAGGAGAATGTTGATGGCAGGCAGTGTGACAAGTAAGGGCTAGAATTTCTCTTGTGTTTATCTTGTGTTACCTTTGAGTTCATTTCAACATCATCATGTATCAGTGTCTTTTTATTAGCCTTTATAAATTAAAAATTTTTGTTAAGTGTATATATTCATTAAACTAACTATGGTTTTGGTTGATATTGATATTATTTTCAGCAATTACAAATGTTTTGATCACATTAGCCTCTGACAAATAACCTAATTTCTGTTTGTAGGTGCAAGCCAGGTTACTTTGGTCTGAGTGAGAAGGACCGTTTTGGTTGTATTTCCTGCTTTTGTTATGGCCATTCCTCTGAGTGTACTAGTGCTGAGGGCTATGTTGCCTCCAATATTACCTCCAACTATGACAGAGGCAAGTTTGAGTCTGGTTTAGTATTGTTTTTTTGTTTGGATTCATCAACATCTCTATGTTAAGCAATGAACTATTTATATAAAAAAGGAATAACTTTTTAATGTAAAACTTGAGGTTATTATTATAAAGGTATGACTTTCTATGAATTTTAGTTGTCTAAACCCTAATGCACGGCGCGGCCTAGCAGTAGAGAGCTAGACTGCTAACCCGAGAGTCAAGTTCGAATCTGGGTTAAAATAAGTAGAATGTCCCTGAGTCCATGCAACTCTGAATGCAGGGATGTGACTTTTCCGAACTTTAGCGGAAATCCGATTTTTCCGTTTCAGCTGCAATTTTCCTCCGCTGATTTAATCTTTGCCGAATTTTTCCGCCGATCTTCGATTTTTGCCGAAATTTTAAAAATTAGGAAAAAAAAATAAATAAAAAAAAAAACGAAAACGGCCGACCTGCGCATTCCATATATTATATTTGTATTTAAATCGAGAATTACAGTACTTAGGTCAAATATGCACATTTCTTTTTAATTAGACGATTGCGCTAGGTCTGACGGTGTTAGATTAAGATGAAATATAGATCTAGGTCAAGATTCAGAATTTCTGCGAATTTCAGTATTTTTCAGAACGCAATTTTTTGGTCCAAATTTTCCGCTGATATCAGTTGAATATTTATCAAAAACACGGGAAAAGTAATCTAAAATAATGCTCTTCTTCAAATGAAACTCGCATCTCACAAGCCTGGTAATCTAGCTATCGATATAGCATAATTTATCTTTCTGTATTTTAACCCACCCAAATCTACAGTTTCTCTCTGATTTTATTTTATTTAGCTATCTAAAATTAATATTAAAATCCTTGCAAAAGGTGACTATGAAGACTAGACTACACCCCCCCCCCCCCCCTTGTAGCAACCGTGGCTCTTGTGACCTCACCTTGACCCCACAAGTACGTGTTTGGTACTGCTTGTGGGGAAAAAAATTAAAATGACGTCACAGTAATTTCAAATAGCTGTTCCTGCAATACCTATGCTATAGGCCTACAGATTTTTAAAAAAAAAAACTGAACTCAACGTGACTCCAAAGAAAAAATACGATATGGACTGTTTTTAATAAGGGGTCTTCCATAAATAACGTCACTCTGGGGGGGGGGGGGGGGGAGGAAAGGAGGGTCCGTAATTTTGTGACGTGTAATGAGGGGGAGGGGGTCAGATAGTGTGACGTCATATTTTTTCATTTTAAAAAAGTAATGTTAGAAACTGAATTTTAGCCGATATTACGCGTTTTAGAAAACTTTAAAAAAAAATTGTAATACAAATTAATTAAAATACCCTACGTTGGTCGAGCTCAGTTAATATTTTAGAAAAAAAAACGATGTTTAAAAAAAATTCAAATTCAATTTTGAGGAGGGGGGAGCGGTTGTTGGCTGAGGTGTGACGTCATTTTAGGGGGGGGGGGGGTCGTCTGTCTTTTGTGATGGAGAGGAGAGGTAAAAATCGTAAAAAAAAAACGTAACGTCATTTATGGATGACCTCAAACAATTTACAGCCATTCCAAAAACAAAAATAACGATGTGGTTTGGCTATCGAAATGGTTAACTTTGGTTCACATATCAGACACTTTCTAATTTCAGCTAATCTGGTCGATTTCATTTTCCATCACATGTGCCCAAAACTTTCAAATAACAATTAATCTGAATCTAGGCATTTTCCAGTTGAAGACTAACATTTTTACCATGCCAATCTTTAAAAGAATATAAGGCATAATTTAAAATTGAAAACAAAAGTGTAACTAGACTAGATTAGTACACTTTAAATTAGCTAAATGTTGAACTTAATTGCCACTTTTGTTACATTGTAATTGTAATTTTTTTAAAAAAGTTGTTTATAAATTAAACATTAAATTGCAATTAGACAAGACTTTCAATATCATTTTAGAGTAACATAAACTTGTTTTATTTATAATATTAGCTATATTAAACGATTAATTAGAACAGTAATGGCGTGAGAATGCTTTAGCTGCGATTTAAAAAATAGATAAAACATATTGAGTTCTTGTCCGAAGAAAATTTCCTAATTTTTTTTCCTGGTCTGGTCACTTCCCTGTGAATGGTACCTAACTCACGTTAGGTAAACAAAGACGGCTGGGCATAGCGCAGACCACGCTATCCCTTCTTATACCGAGGTCTCTGAAGCAGTTGAACTCTACTTCATCTGCCCCATCTGTCTTGGGCACGAACGGGAAATGATGATGAAACCCTAATGCAGCATGTTTTTATGTATGTATTGTATGAAAATGAACCACGGTACAATGTTTGTTACAGGTGCTGAACGCTGGACAGCTATTACAAGAAGCTATAAAGAGGTGGAGCTGCAGTACAACAACATAGCCCAGAATGTTGGTGTCTCATCCAACACATCTGAAGCTGTTTACTTCTCTGCTCCAGGTTTGTGCCCCTCTCTAGCATATGTCTTGCTGTTTCTTCGGTGAATTTTTCTTACTGCTTAAAATATTACTGTTAAATTGATTATTATTATTTTACCTTATTAAATTATCAAACATCCTTGCAACCTAAACATTTCTAATGAATTCAATGAATTGTTAAATACAATTCACGATAGATAATCATTGAACTTTTTAGAGTAAAAGAAATAAAATAAAAATTCACTTTTTCTGTTACTTTATATGTTAACGTATGTCTGATAACATAGCAGTTTTTTGGCAAATATGGGTAAAGTAATTAGTTTTTAAAATAAGAAATATGGTTTGTCCTATAATTGAAATAATGATTTGTTTTTAGTGTACTTGGTTGTTAGAATAACACTGTCAGAGGTGATGTGAATTGAAATAAATGTATTAACCTCTACAATATTTTGTGTTTTACAGCCCGCTACCTAGGGGACCAACGCTACAGCTACAACCAATACCTTTCATTTGATTTCCGCATTGGTGATGCCAGACCCAAGCCATCTGTTGTGGATATCATATTAGAGGGTTCTGGGCAGTCAGCATCAACACACATATCAACACACATCTATGCCCAGTCTAACCCAGTTCCAGATGTTGTAGCCAAAACATATGCCTTCAGGATACATGAGAACAGCGTGTATCAGTGGAACCCCAGGCAGAACGCCCTGGACCTTATCAATCTGCTGTCCAATCTGACTGCCATCAAGATCCGTGCCACTTACTCTGATAAAGGTGAGAGTTGGCCATGCACTAAATAAATAGTATCTACCATGTTTGCTTAGGATCTCATCATTATTGTTGACATGGATAAAAAGTGTTTTTGTAAATTCTGTTTTTTTAGTAGACTTCCATTTTTTTTTTAATATTCAAATGAAAGATATATGGCCATTGATGTGTAAACTTGTGTAAACACACTAGGACCCCAGTACGCTTATGGCTGGAGGGAAATTGTTACGTCACAGCATGATCTGTGACATGACATATATTTCATGTGCCATATTAGGTAGGTCTACTGATGGCTACTGTGATCTCACAGTATTTCTTCCACCATGACTTGTTGTAGAGTGCCACCCTAACTTGTTGTGGAGTGGAATACCGGTAATCTTTAATTGAAGACTAAAGTTTCTCAGCTATAAAAAATGATAAGGTTTCCAAAAAAAACTTTATTTAGATCTAGGACCTATGTTGAATAAGACTAGGCTACTCAACTAGAGATTAATATCTTTGATGCATTTCTTTTATGAAACTTTGTATTCTAAAGATAATATAATTGGACTCATGAAAAATGTGTATGCTGAGTATAGCCATTTGTCAACAAAGTGGACTATGGGATGCTATCTAAATCTAATATCTTTAAACCTGGTGTATTTTTTTGTTCATACCAAGTTTTTTCCATGGTGTGTTTCATATTTTATCTAAACATTAGACCATATAGTTTTTCAAAATATTTAAACAAATTTTAATACCCAAATCTATTGTGCTACTAATTTCAGGTGTTGGTTTTATTGATAACATCCGACTGGGCACAGCAAGGCCGGGGTACCAGCCTGAGGATGCTGCCACATGGGTGGAGTCCTGCAGCTGTCCCAGAGGCTATGTGGGGCAGCATTGTGAGTCTTGTATTCAGGGGTTCAAGAGAAGCCCTCCTTTTGGTGGACCCTTCTCTAAGTGTGTGGCGTGTGAGTGTAACCAGCACTCTGACAGTTGTGACATTAACTCAGGTAAGGTGACACTGTGATTGTGGGTTTTTTTAAATAAATATTGATATACGTGACTTAATTGTTAGACAAGTGTATTTTGTCATTAGAAACACTTGATTTATAGCTTTAAACAAGGTTTTTATGACAGAACTTGTCATTGATTCTTATCACATTTGTATTTTCACTAAGCTCAAGTAAATACCTTACTGAAAATAATGACCATAAAAGGGGTTGAGCACAGTATCAATAATTAAAATAAAATGAAATGGAAAAGGTAGCCCTTGTTAAAAGTTATCTTGTTTATAATTGACCTATTGCCACTGTCATTAACTGTAGTGCTGTAAAGTTTTGTTGAAAAAAAATGTAACGATCAGATTGTGTATTTTAGTTTAATTTTGATTGTGCCACTGTTCTGTTCCAGGCCGCTGTATTTGTGGAGACAACACTGAAGGAGATTTCTGTGAGAACTGTGTGCGTGGTTACTACGGTGATGCCACCAAAGGTACACCTGAAGACTGCATAGCTTGTCCATGTCCAAATGGTGGGCCCTGTATTCAGTTACCTGAAGGAGACATTGTGTGCACAGAGTGTGAAGAAGGTTATGGAGGTAAGTTCGTATCTCATAGTTTTGATGCATTATGTTTTTTCTTGTGTTTATTAATTCAATTACGAATTTCCTAGTTTCTTGTAGTCAGGTTGTTTTTAAAAATACATTATCTACTTGAAAAAATTTTTGTATATTGTGTTAATTTCGCAAACACAAGTCAACCCTTGATATCTCTAATGTATTGGGATGTTCATTACTTCAACAAGAGTAAATTGTTATTCTGAAACTTGTTGCACACTTCTAAGTAGAAAACTTTGCTTTGGTATTTTTTCTTAACTGTAAGCTATAATAAAATTTCTTATGTTATGGGTTATTTATTGGATCATGTGCATATTCACAGGCAACTTGTGTGATATATGTTTGGATGGTTACTATGGCGACCCAATGGGCAGAGCCACAGGAAGAGTCAGTGAATGTAAAAAGTGTACCTGCAATGGTAACATTGACCCTAACGCTGTAGGAAATTGTAACAGGTCAGTACATGTTATAGTAAAAGAAAATAACTTCTCAACATGTCCACATGTTTTTGTAAAAAAGTTCTTAACAGTATGTTAACATGATTTTTGAAAAAAATACTTGCTTTTCTTCTGTTACTCTCAGTGCACCCAATGAGCAAGTTTTTTTTTAATGCACTGTCTGATGTTCTCAAATTATGTGAAGGACAATTATTTCTGCATAAGAAGCTGGCAACACAATTTTGACAATTGCTGAAAATAAGTTTTATTATTGTTCGTACTATCAGTTAACTTTCAAAGAAGTTAACTTTCAAAGATTTTTTAAGTTTGGTTTTTTCAAAGTGACTAGCAATGCAAAGAATGAAAGCAAAACTAACTTAAATTCTTCTGTGTTTGAATCTGGCTCATTTTATAAAGTCACTAGTGATAAATAGTGACTTTGAAATAGAAAGTATTTTTAAGAAACTTTTGAAGGCTTTAAAAAAAAATTTTGTTGAAATAACTCGTGTGGTTTTTCAACAGTTTTCTTGTTTTGATATTATTTATTGTTTGCAAATTATTAATTTAGACTAAAACTTAATAAACTATTTCTATTTTAATGTTTAATGCTTATTGTTTTAATTGTTTTTATCACATCACATTGCATAAAGACATTTTAAAATAATTCACCAAAAAGTTGTGGCTGAATAATGAGTTGTCATTTCACTTAACTATACGGGAAATAAAAACATTTACATGCCGAGACAGTGAAGGTTAACAATACATCGGTATATTTAACTAAAAAAGAATTTTCAACAATAGGTCAGAAATAGTATTAAATAGAAACAAAAAAATCCATCTTTCTTGTCTCTACCCAGTTTTTATAAATATAAACAAATATCTAAGTTGAGCTAACTTATCAGGAAATTGCACAAATCATTAATATTATTTATATGTTAAAAACTAAAGACCTCCTACTTTATCTTCTACAGTACCACAGGCGAGTGTCTGAAGTGTATCCGCAACACTGGTGGCTTCTACTGTGATCAGTGCCTGCCCAACTTCTTCAACAACACCAATGGCCAGTGTACACCATGCAACTGCTATGTCAGTGGCACGGTCAGCCAGCCTGGCACCAGTGGCTGTGATCAGAAATCTGGACAGTGTTTGTGCTTGCCTAATGTCATAGGGAGGAGATGTGAAGAGTGTGAGATTGGCTATTGGGATATCACCAGTGGCAATGGTAAGTTAGTTTATGAACTAGGCCTATGTATAATACAGTTGAATTAATTGATAAACAATTAACAAGAAAAAAAGAAACATTACTCCATGTAGTTACTGATTAGCTGCTAATTATGCAACAGAATGTAAAATATACTACCATTGGGTCAGTATGTGAAATGATACACCTTCTTTAACCCAGCATATTTCTGTAAATAAATATTGTACAATAAACTCATCTGCACTATTCACATGTGCTAAAAACTGAGATTTTTCAATTAAAAAGAAATAAATAATTGTCTAGCTGTATCTTTTTTTAAAATTATTTTATTTTATGTTTATTTCTGACATGTTGACTTTCAATTTTTAATTAAAATGATTTAATATTAAGTTATATGTTGAAGCTTGATGGAATTAAAATTAGACTGTTGTAAAGTTAAATCTTTAAATATCAAATGTGTAGTGTTACTGATGCATTCAGATTCAAAGCTAGACTTGAACCACAAACTTACATCACTAGCTTGACCCTAAACAATAAATACTGCAATAAACACATAGTAAATGCTATGTTTTCATTGATGTTAAACAGTTCTTTGTTCTCTTGTACCTTTTGTGAATTTTTATTATAATGCAAATAATAAGCGTATTTTATAATTTATTTCAATTAAAAGTTTAGCACCTGAATTAAGTTTTATTGAAAGACATAAGTAGTAAATTCATTAATGCCATAAATGAATGAAGCCTAATTAAACTTTTATTCCACTTATTTTTCAGGCTGCTCACCTTGCCAGTGTGATGTGATTGGTTCCCTCAACTTTACCTGTGATTTGACCACTGGTCAGTGCCAGTGTAATAAAGGCATCACAGGGCAGAAATGTGATGTCTGTCAAGAAAATTACTTTGGATTTTCTTCTCTAGGCTGCACAGGTAATTCTGGATACAATTTCTAGCAGAGCAGTTCAGTTTATACACAACTACACAATATCTGATGTTTTTTTTTCCTCCTAGTATAGCTGCTAGTCAAGCTTGGAATAACATAAAGCTTGTGATACTACCAATAGCCATTGGCACTTAATATGCACTGATAACATTAATTACAATAGGCTCACATAGAAAGTTTTGCATTGATTGCTGATGACTGTTGTAATTTGTTTATGTTTTCCAGTCTTGGACTTGGAACAACATCAGGGTTGTGATACTAGCAAACTATTGACACTTAATATGCCTTGTTGTATGCGACGGCATGGCCTAGTGGTAGACAGCTAGACTGCTAACCCTAAAGTCTATAGCTTGAATCCAGGTTCAAGTCAGTAGAATATCCTTGATTCCACCCATCTCTGATGTGTGCCTAACACACGTGTGGGAAAGAAAAAGCGGCTGGACATAGCACTGACCACACTATCCCTTCATATGCCGAGGTCCTCGAAACCGACGAACTCTACTTCATCTGCTCTACATGTCTTGGGCACCAAAAGGAAAAGATGATGAAGCCCTGTTGACATAAGTTAAATACAATAGGCTCACATATAAAGTAGTACATTGATTGTTTATGTCACTGTTGTAATTTCTGTTTTCCAGCCTGCAACTGTGACCCTGTGGGATCCACCAGTCAACAGTGTGATGCCTATGGCTTCTGTCCATGTAAAGACAATGTGGATGGTAGACACTGTGACAGGTGTATGGAAAACAAGTACGACATCTCTGCTGGATGTCTAGGTAGGTTTCTAGGCCTCAGACCAGTTGTTGAACTCATTTGCTACTTAAGTCAGTTTCAAAAACTTTCCTCCAGACCCAAGGCTAAGGGAGACAACCCACCCACTACTTTTGTTACAAATTATTTTAAAAATATGTTTATTGTTTGCTTTATTTTTTCAAAAGTCGCAAAATGTATTAACTTAAAGCATAAAATTGATATGCTTTTGTCTAGCAGTAGGGCCTAGTACTTATTGTTTAGGGCTAATTTAGGGATGCAACTAAGTGGTCCTGAGTCTGCCACTGAGTGTCTCAATAACATTTCTAATATTTAAAAAGTTATGATTTTATAATAGATTGTGATTGCTAATTCTAATAGCTTAAATATCTAACTTAATCTAGAATCTATTTTAATATAATAAAAAATGGTAGAAACTTCGGTTTTATATTTAGTAAAAATAAATAGCGTAGAAGCTCTTTTTGCATGATAATAATGTAATAGCAACACAAAAGGCAGTAATGGATGTCCCATTTTGTTGTATCAATAGCAACAAACATTTGTCACATTTACTACATTAGTTGTAAATGTGTTAACTCCTGTCCTAACGTTTAGCTTCCATAGCCTTTGTCCAACAATCTCAAGGCAGCAGTTGTTTTTGGAGATTTTTAACCTAAAGATTGCCTTCAGTGCTATAACTTCTTGACTAGCCTCCTAAAGTATATAATTATGTCTGCTTCAGATTGCCCTCACTGCTATAACTTCTTGACTAGCCTCCTAAAGTATATAATTATGTCTGCTTCAGATTGCCCTCAGTGCTATAACTTCTTGACCAGCCTCTATATAATTATGTCTGCTTCAGACTGCCCTCAGTGCTATAACTTCTTGACTAGCCTCCTAAAGTATATAATTATGTCTGCTTCAGATTGCCCTCAGTGATATAACTTCTTGACTAGCCTCTTAAAGTATATAATTATGTCTGCTTCAGATTGCCCTCAGTGCTATAACTTCTTGACTAGCCTCCTAAAGTATATAATTATGTCTGCTTCAGATTGTCCTCAGTGCTATAACTTCTTGACTAGCCTCCTAAAGTATAAAATTATGTCTGCTTCAGACTGCCCTCAGTGCTATAACTACTTGACTAGCCTCTATATAATTATGTCTGCTTCAGACTGCCCTCAGTGCTATAACTTCTTGACTAGCCTCTATATAATTATGTCTGCTTCAGACTGCCCTCAGTGCTATAACTTCTTGACCAGCCTCTATATAATTATGTCTGCTTCAGACTGCCCTCAGTGCTATAACTTCTTGACCAGCCTCTATATAATTATGTCTGCTTCAGTCTGCCCTCAGTGCTATAACTTCTTGTCTAGCCTCTTAAAGTATATAATTTTGTCTGCTTCAGATTGCCCTCAGTGCTATAACTTCTTGACTAGCCTCTTAAAGTATATAATTATGTCTGCTTCAGATTGCCCTCACTGCTATAACTTCTTGACTAGCCTCCTAAAGTATATAATTATGTCTGCTTCAGATTGCCCTCAGTGCTATAACTTCTTGACTAGCCTCCTAAAGTATATAATTATGTCTGCTTCAGATTGCCCTCAGTGCTATAACTTCTTGACTAGCCTCCTAAAGTATATAATTATGTCTGCTTCAGACTGCCCTCAGTGCTATAACTACTTGACTAGCCTCTATATAATTATGTCTGCTTCAGATTGCCCTCAGTGCTATAACTTCTTGACTAGCCTCCTAAAGTATATAATTATGTCTGCTTCAGACTGCCCTCAGTGCTATAACTTCTTGACTAGCCTCCTAAAGTATATAATTATGTCTGCTTCAGACTGCCCTCAGTGCTATAACTTCTTGACTAGCCTCTTAAAGTATATAATTATGTCTGCTTCAGTCTGCCCTCAGTGCTATAACTTCTTGACTAGCCTCCTAAAGTATATAATTATGTCTGCTTCAGACTGCCCTCAGTGCTATAACTTCTTGACTAGCCTCCTAAAGTATATAATTATGTCTGCTTCAGATTGCCCTCAGTGCTATAACTTCTTGACTAGCCTCTTAAAGTATATAATTATGTCTGCTTCAGACTGCCCTCAGTGCTATAACTTCTTGACTAGCCTCCTAAAGTATATAATTATGTCTGCTTCAGATTGTCCTCAGTGCTATAACTTCTTGACTAGCCTCCTAAAGTATAAAATTATGTCTGCTTCAGACTGCCCTCAGTGCTATAACTACTTGACTAGCCTCTATATAATTATGTCTGCTTCAGACTGCCCTCAGTGCTATAACTACTTGACCATCCTCTATATAATTTTGTCTGCTTCAGACTGCCCTCAGTGCTATAACTTCTTGACTAGCCTCTTAAAGTATATAATTATGTCTGCTTCAGTCTGCCCTCAGTGCTATAACTTCTTGACTAGCCTCTTAAAGTATATAATTTTGTCTGCTTCAGATTGCCCTCAGTGCTATAACTTCTTGACTAGCCTCTTAAAGTATATTATTATGTCTGCTTCAGATTGCCCTCACTGCTATAACTTCTTGACTAGCCTCCTAAAGTATATAATTATGTCTGCTTCAGATTGCCCTCAGTGCTATAACTTCTTGACTAGCCTCTTAAAGTATATAATTATGTCTGCTTCAGATTGCCCTCAGTGCTATAACTTCTTGACTAGCCTCCTAAAGTATATAATTATGTCTGCTTCAGATTGCCCTCAGTGCTATAACTTCTTGACTAGCCTCTATATAATTATGTCTGCTTCAGATTGCCCTCAGTGCTATAACTTCTTGACTAGCCTCCTAAAGTATATAATTATGTCTGCTTCAGATTGCCCTCAGTGCTATAACTTCTTGACTAGCCTCTATATAATTATGTCTGCTTCAGATTGCCCTCAGTGCTATAACCTAGTCCAGGACGAGGTCAACAGACACCGTGGCAAGCTGCGTGACCTGGCTATCCTCATCAACAAGACCACTAACAACCCGAGTTTGTTCAATGACTCTCAGTTTGTAGCCTATCTGACCAGTGTCAATTCTTCTATTAATGTTCTGCTCAGAGATGCCAGAAGTACCTCCAGTAAGTAACTGTTTTTTTTTATCATTACAAGCTTAGATAACTGTATGTCTTAAAAATTGTGTGATGAACAATATACATAAATAAATGGATTTTTTTTCTTCAAATATTGTGAATGCTTATTTTTAGCTTTCACAAAAAAAAAATTAGGTTAACTGAAGTTCTGTTTCACTACAAAATTTTTCCATGGTTATTTTTGGAATAGTTTTTTGTGTGTGGATAATTTGTTTTTATTTTTTAATAATTAATTTACACTTCATGTAAGTTTTTTTATAAATGTATTAATGATTTATAAATCTAAAGCTCTTGTCAAAATAGCCGTGTTAGATCAGACCATGTTTTTTTTTCTCCCTACCTAATCAGCTGGGGATGGCAGTGTCAACAAACAGCTGGAGAACCTCGGCAAAAGCCTGAGAGATGCCTTGGACAAGTGCGCTATTATTGCGGCAAACATTGCAAATATGAACAAAGCTGTGGAGACCAGCCAGGATGATATTAAAGCTGCTGAGAGGGCCCTGAACAATGCAGAAAATGCTCTCAAGATGTCTGAGGACTATATAGATCTAGAGGGTAGAGCTGCCCTCAAGCAAGCTCTAGAGGCTTTGAACAAGTTTGGACAGAACAATCAGCAGATGACAGAAATAGCTTTAAATGCCACCAATGAAGCTAAAAGGTATTTGACACATGGTAAAAAAGTATAACAGGCTTGAATCACTGCAAGGAAAGACAAACTAGAGTTTAGGTGTTTGGTTGATAACTGCATATGAATGAGTTTTCTGGCACATGTTCTTTTGATGACTGGTTCCATGGGACTGAATAATGGATAGCATGTTATTTGTTTCACTGCCCAAACATGCCATTACATTTTGTGTTGCGCTGTTATGATATTCTTGGTTGTCCATAAGTTTTTCTACATATTGCATTCTACATATTGTCATGGTTATACAGGGTAAAAGTACAGTATTTTTCTCATACTTGTCTCTTAAAGTTCATTGACCCAATGGCTGGGCTGTTTTGCTCTTGTCATGGTTATACAGGGTCAAAGTTCAGTAATTTTCTCATACTTGTCTCTTAAAGTTCATTGACCCATTGGCTGGGCTGTAGTGCTCTTGTCATGGTTATACAGGGTAAAAGTTCAGTATTTTTCTCATACTTGTCTCTTAAAGTTCATTGACCCAATGGCTGGGCTGTAGTGCTCTTGTCATGGTTATACAGGGTAAAAGTTCAGTATTTTTCTCATACTTGTCTCTTAAAGTTCATTGACCCATTGGCTGGGCTGTATTGCTCTTGATTGTTAACCCAACAGTTTCAAGATCAGATACAGATTGATCTGAGTCCACACATCCCTGACAGGTGTACCTGACACATTAAGAAAATTAAAATAAGTATTGACAGAAACTCTTCTCTTTCCTATTAACCATCAGATTCTAAAGAGAAGCTTTGTTTAACTCTACATTTTTCTCATTTTTGTCTCTTAAACAGTTGCTGGATCTGTAATATAATTTTCCATATTGAATGTTCAATTTTTTCTTTAATAGGCAAACAGAAGAGGCTAAGAGAATTGAAGACTTGGCAAAGATTGCTTTAGACACTTCAAGAGAAGCCTATAGACTGGCCAATGAAACTCTGAGTATGCCTTTAAAAACATCACAAGAAATAGATAATCTTAAGAGAGAGTAAGTACATCTACATTCCATTTCTCTATTCTTTATGATGAGCTTATGTAACTACCAAATCAACTAATAAAAAATATGATATATGCTATGAATGTTTATGAAATAAAAGTTATGAAGAGATATTACCTGTAAAAAAATGTGAACACATATGGTGCCAACTTGTTATTAAAAAATCAAACAAATAAAAAATGTGTTTTTTTAGGTATGATGATGCAAGCCTCTTATACCAAAACACCAAAGCAACAGCTAATAGAACATACAATGCAGCATTATTAGCCAAAGATGAAGCCTTGAACCTTTTCCAGCTAGCCAATGACCAGTTACCCAGTCTGGATGTGGATATGTTGAAGAAAGAGGCCCAGAGAATCAAAGATGAGGTTAGCTTTCAATAGTTTAGCTTCTCTTTTGATTTCTTGTTATATTTTAGTGTACTAGTTTTATTACACTTATTTATAGGTATAGATTCGTTAGTTTATGCTTTGCTTAATTTAAGAAAAATGTTTATTAATATTAATATCTAGTATAAAGAACAACATTGAATGTCAATATTGTTTGTAGTCTTTAGACATAAAAGAAAAAGCTAAGGGTTTAGTGAAGCAGAATGAAGAACTTTTAAGTTCCATTCAAAAGCAAAGGGAAGAAGGAGAGCAGCTTCTAAAGGATGGTGAAACATATCGTATGGTAAGTGAAATACACTTTATAAGATTTAAAATAAAGGATGGTGAAACATTGTGATAAGTAAAATTAGATACAATGTTTAAGATTTTAAAGTAAGGTGAAACATTGTATGTTAAGTGAACTTCGATACAATATTTAAGACTTAAAATAAAGGATGATGAAACATATCGTGATAAGTGAAATTTTATACAATATTTAAGTCTTATAAAATAACCAACAATGTAATTGAACTTAATTGGGTTTTACTGAATAGTAAAAATATAACAATAATAAATAAGTAATAAATATTCCTGGGGACGGAGTGGTCTAGCGGTAGAGAGCTGGTCTGCTAACCCTTAAGTCTCGAGTTCGAATCCGGGTTCAAGTCAGTAGACCGTGCCTGAGTCCACCCAACTCTATCTCTTCATATGCCGAAAGTCACAGAAACAAGTGAACTCTACTTTACCTGCCCTATAGACCTGCAGGTTTGAAAAGGGAACTTTTAATAAATATTCCTGCAACCTTTATTGGGGTTGTTGGGCATCACAGAGTGATGTGTCCAGGGCTAAGTGTCGCAAGGCGGCGCCGACACCTCTCCATGCCTGACCACAGCCAGATGCCTCCATCTAGTTGGCTCACCTTTGTCATGAACATGTGACTGTTAAAGTTCATCTAGGAACTCTTGCGCCATGGCTGGTGACTTTTGCTGGAAGGCCATACACTCAGTGATGCTGTGTAATCAAGTGTTTGATGTTGAAGTTTCCTCTCCTTGATAAATTGCTGTCACCAGCTATCAAACCTTATCTGCCTGGGGGGTTTGACATATCTGTTTAGCAACCATGAGCTTTACCGACCTGATCAATCCAACCCCAAAAAATATAATGTTGAAAGTCAGCTTCATTGGTGTTTTTAGATAACAGGGATCAGGTGCTCAATGAACCAGAATTTATTTTGTTAAGCTTTTTTTTCAATTAGAAATATAAAAACTTTGATTTCTCATTTTCACTATTTGCACATAAAGTCTTGTCTTAATGCAAATCCTCTAAAATCTTTTTTTTCTCCGGGGGGGGGGGGGGGGGAGACAGACACTGTTAAAAGTATATATTTTCAATATAAATTTCATTTCGTTGGGGGGGGGGGGGGGAGAGATGCCTGGAAGAAACTCTGGATCCACTAGAATTTTGTTACTACACTTGTTACAATTTTGATCCACTTTGTTACAATGTTTATCCACTAAAATTTTGTTATAATGTTAATCCTCTAGAACCTTGTTACAATGTTGATCCACTAAAATTTTGTTACAATGTTGATCCACTAAAATTTTGTTACAATGTTGATCCCCAGGAAATCGACAGTTATTTAGCTGAAGTTCACACTGCCAGGCATGAGGCAAGGGAAGCTGTTGCATCAGCTGAGAAGACCCTGAAGGAGGCCAACGCTACACTGGAGACCCTCCAAAGTAAGGCAGCTCTGGGTGATCTCACTACCCTGTCTTCACATTCAGCATAAAATAATCACACAGGATATTGGATACTGTTCTCACTAGTTAATCAGTGTCAATTTACTTTAAAGTTGTGACATTGTAGGAGCCTTCTGGTTGATACATTGGGCCATTATAAATATTGGGCCATCAGAAATTTCGTGTCTTTCGTCTTCTTCGTTCGTAATTCTACTGTTGGAAGGTGTTCCCTCCAACACGATTAAGTATTACTTGTCAACTTGTTATGCCATTGACCTAGTGTCTTGTCTTAATATCAAGGACGAGCCGACCCGCTGCGTATCATACGCCGCTATTTAGTGGTTTTTTTTTTTTTTCTACTTTTCAGTAATTTATAATTTGTGAATTCGACAGTACCAATGCTGCCACTGAAAATATTTGCTTAAAAACACTAAACCCCCCTCCCCCCCCCCCCCCCCCCCCCCCCACGTGAAAGCAGCCTCATCTTAGTTACCTCCTCTAAGTTTAAAATCGTTTCAAACTAAATTATCTGCCCCTAATAGCCGTCACCAAACCCGTCTCTATGATTGTAAAATGTAAACAGAGTGAACACCGCTCACCAGATCATGTGGGGGTGGGGTTAGGGTGGTAGTGATAGTGATAGAGAGGAAGAGAGGGGACTGCAAAGGCGCGCTTGCAGCTTGTTTTCTAACTGATCCCAGAAGAGAATTATATATATAGATTGCTTAAAAATGTTTTGTAACTCAAAGATGAAGCTTCATAAACCTTGCATAAGAAACATGTGCAAATGGTATTTTTAAGCTAAGCCACTCTGATGATTCTTGGTAGAACTTCCCTTTCTTTTTCAGTCTTCAAATCTTGCCAGTTAATGTTAAATCTATAAGACATGTAAATTGATTGTCCAATTAGTAGTGCCAACTGTTCCCTTGGTAACAGCTTGTTGAAATATTTCAGAGTTTGACAGCCTGATAGCAAACAAGGAGGCAGCCGAACAAGCCATGGCCAATGTGTCTGACATTCTCAAGTTGATAGAGGAGGCCAAGGCCATCACAAAGGAGGCCAGGGATGCCCTGCAGAAGGTCCACGCTGATGCCATCAGGGCTCTGGAGATAGCCAAGGATGCTGAGAGGAAGGCTGGGGAGGCTTCAACTGTTAGTCTTGTTTTCTTGTCGAGTACTATATTTCTCTTTAATTTTCATCAGCTACTTTTGTAGAACGTCACTGAGTTCACCCAGATCTGGTGGGTACATGACTTTTTTTAGGGAAGGTAAAGGCGGCTGGGTATAGTCCTGATCGCGCTTTCCTTTCTATGTAGAGGAAGGATACTACATTTTTTAACTTTCTTGTGAACAATGCCACACCCTCTTAGTCTTTTTAGCATCATATATGTTAAGTGTGAAAAAATGTTTCGATTTCAGGTTTTAGTTAACGAGGTAAAAAATAAAATTTATATAAAAATCTCAACTAAAAGTAATAAAATTTATTTTCATTTTAATGTTTTTAATTAATTACCTTTATCATTTATTAGCTAACTTGATGTAAATCATAATTGTTTCTTAAAGTCATTTAGAATTATCCTACAATGATCCACGTAGACATAAAAATATGTGGAGAGGGTGGGGATTTGCTGGAGAACGATTGTGTGTGCTTTCGTCCAAAAAGTTGTTGCTCTAAGGATAAATCAGATATAATGGTGGAAGTGCTTGACCAGGGGTGGGGAGCGGGGTTAGTGTTACATAATAGGTGGTTTGAGGGAGGGGGGGTTAAAAGTATAAGGGTGGGGTTTTTATGAGCTCTTTTGCATACAGGTCCATATGTAATAGAAAAGATTGGTTAGCTACGACCTGGAATGATACATCATTTATTGTAGAAAACTAATATCCCATATCCATAAATTATCCTACATGTACTCTAGAAAAGAAATATCTGTTACCCATGAATGTTTCAACATTATCTATACATTGTAGAAAAGCTATAATATCCCATATCCACAAACTATCCTACATTATGTGTTGTAGAAAAACTATGATATGCCATATCCATGAATTATCCAACATTATGTGTTGTAGGAAGCTGGTCGTATCCGCGATGAAGCTGGTGATACTCGCAGTAAGTCCAGCAACTTGAGGAACGAGGCAGAAATGTTGTCCGACAAAGTGACCAATGCTAAAAAAGATGTGGAGAACTACGAAGGCCAAATTGGGGAGGATGAACGTCTAGCCAATAAAGTCAGTGTTTTCTATTCATTTTTCACATTTGAAATTAAAAATAAAAAAATAAAAAACTAGACATTTAAATTGTTTTTTTTACATGGATCAATTGAACTGTACTGTCTCTAAGCATTACCTGAGTATTGTTTGTATCTCCAGGCATTACTTGATGCAGCAAAAGTGAAGCAGAGAGCAGAAGATGCCTACAGACAGGTGGATGAAGCTCACAGACTTATCATGTCCATCAACACAGAACTGGACGTGGACTCAGTGGACATGAGCCGTCTCAAGGCACTGGAAGCTCAGTTAAACCTGGTAGGTGGAAGCTCAGTTAAACCTGGTAGGGGGAAGCTCAGTTAAACCTGGTAGGTGGAAGCTCAGTTAAACCTGGTAGGTGGAAGCTCAGTTAAACCTGGTAGGTGGAAGCTCAGTTAAACCTGGTAGGTGGAAGCTCAGTTAAACCTGGTAGGTGGAAGCTCAGTTAAACCTGGTAGGTTTTTTGTTTATTCATGGTAGGTGTAAGAGAGTTGACCAGCCACCTGTACCAGTGCTAGTACTAGTATTTATGGTAGGTGTAAGAGAGTTGACCAGCCACCTGTACCAGTGCTAGTATTTATGGTAGGTGTAAGAGAGTTGACCAGCCACCTGTGCTTGTACTAAAGAAAGCAAGTTTGTTTTTCTTAATTTTAGTGGATTTCAAAGCTGATAATAATACTTTAAAATTTTTGTTTTAATTACACCCAATCCCTTGATTCCATCAGTTGTATGGAGAGAGGGACCTGAAACATATGTGTCTGGTCCTTCTCATCCTTCTAGGCCTTGTGCTTGGATTTTTAACCCTTTGAGCCCGGGCCTCCCTGGCCTAATTTCTCCCATTTCCTGAGCTCCCGGGGCCAAACCAATTTTCACTTATCAGCTTCTAACTTTGCCTATAACTTTTGAACCGTTTGAGATAATCAGACAAAATTTGGTATCCAGACTCAGGATCAAACATCAAAGCAGAAAGATTCTGAAATTCTTTATTTTTTTACAATGTATGAACAGAACAATGTATATAAAACGAACACGTAATTATTGTTTTGATAGAACATAGAAGAAACAAATTTACATTTAGTGATTGTTTTGTTATTATTGATACCTGGCCATACTAGTTCATCGCCAGAAGTCCACTTTTGTGTGATAAGTTTCAAAACAGTTATCACTGCCTGACCCTATGCAAAGAAAAACTTCGCATGTTTTGCACCAGTAAACAGTTTTTTTTTTCGTTTCGGCAAGTCTTTGTCCTTGGCACCACGTGCATCATAACGTACTTGAACAGTTTCGTTGTCACTGTCAATTTCAATGTCACTGAGTTCAGTCTCATATTCAACGTCACTATCATCTTAATATAGATCAGGAATATTATCTTCTTCATCAGAATCAATAGGTAGTGGTATTGCCTGAGATGCAGTCATTCTACTTCTTTTGTTGATATTTTGGTCTTTTGCTTCATCTTTTGCACAAACTTTATGTGCTGAAGTCGATTGCTGTGGCTCAGCTTTTCGTTTCGGAGGCATTGCTACGAAATGTAAACACTTTCGCTTTTCCTAAAATCTATTTTTAGAATCATAATCACGCACTAAAAAGACATATGCACAGATTTAGTCAGTCTTCCGCTAATTATATTTAATTAGACGGTAAACCGGCCGCTAGGAATATGACGCTAGATCATCGGGCCGGAAAACCGGCTTTTCGGACATATATGCCTAATGTTGAAGCCGGTTTACCGGCCTGGCGGGCTCAAAGGGTTAACACAGCATTTACACTCATGACATGTATACTATACATGTAAAAAAAAACTTGCATAAAGCTAATGTTATATAAAAACAATGTTCCTACTGAATTTGTATACTTACTGGCTAGGAGTTTTTTCCTAGATACATTTAGTATCCATGTTGCAAAGTAAATTTAGTGTAAGTTGCAATTATCCAATAGTCTAACTAAACTATGGAGCCGTAATTTTTAAATTTTATTTACTGAATCAGTTAAAGTATTTGTCAATAACTTACATGTTTACATTATGGTCTACAAGTATATGTTTTGTCCTAACATTGCCTGTAAACTTGTCCTGCTGTTATTGTCCTGCTGGTTTCAGATTGAGGGTTTTTACTATGGTCTATGTGTTGTGACAACTTTGTCCTAACATTATTGTACTGCTATGGTCTATCTGTTGTGACAATTCTGTCCAAACATTATCCCACTTGTTTCAGATTGAGGGTTTTTACTATGGTCTATCTGTTGTAACAATTCTGTTCTAGCATTATTGTCCTGCTATGGTCTATCTGTTGTGACAATTCTGTCCTAACATTATTATCCCACATGTTTCAGATTGAGGGTCTGCTAGATGAGCCTGGGATTGAAGCCAAGATGCAGGAGCTTCAGACAAAGAACTCCCAGATTGAGGACCAAGTGGCCAAGTTTGAGTTTGACATGACGGAACTCCGGGCCGCAGTGGCCAACATAGCTGAAATAGCAGGCTCCTTACCTAACGGCTGCTACAAGTCTATACCCATAGAGCTCAATAGTAATGTAGGCTAGAGCAAAGAACCTACAGGAGCATTAGACTCTGATTAAATGGCAAAATATCTTGTTGCAAGATTTAAATTTTTTTGAATATATAAGCTCAAGTCGGTATTTTTGTTTGTAGAAAAGTTTTTTTTTTTTAAGTAAAAGTTTTTGAAGACCAATGATCATCTTGCAACAGACATGAAGATCTGATGAATGTGTTCATCTTAAATTTCTGGTTTCATTTATTTTAAATTGTATTTGAAAAAACAATTTTGGATATCATGAAGAAACATTTCTTTTAAATAGGTTAATTTATATTATACTTAAATATGTTAATTTATCCCATAATAGTTTATTAATATCAGTTATTTAAATTACATTTTTTTTCTTGTCACTTTTATATGGATCAAAATTTTTAAAATAACCTGTTTATTGTAAAACTGGCATAATCTTCCAATAAGTCTAAAACTTCATATCTTGGTAAATAATAACTAGTTGTGGTAAGGTTTTGTAACATATGTAACAAATTGTAAAGGGTAGTTAGTCCATCAAAAAGTTTGCTCATATAATTTAACTTTTGTACATAAGTACTCTAGTGCTGCACAAATGAAATGGTAGCCTTGAGAGCACATCTTATCTAGGCATATTGTTGTTTATTGGGCAAGTTCTTCATTTGTGTGCACACTCAATCTGGGCACTAAGACCTGGCCAGTTTTTTATGTATTTGTACATCAAATCTGGATACACTGATATTTTATTGGCCAATTCTTCATTTGTGTGCTAAATCTGGAAACTTTAAAATAAATTTTGCCAGTTTTAATGTGTATGTACATCCAACCTCAACACATTGATATTTATTTGGCCAGTGTTTTTTTTTTCATTTATGTTGTGGTTGTATGCCTCATGTTTGCATCAATTCCAAGTTGTTTTTTTTTTAAAGAACTAGTATAATAATTGTATGTGCTACTTTTGATGTAAGTGTAGTAGTACTACATGTAAACTGTGTAGCTTCTCCCTGTATATTGTATGTATCCTCATCTAGCAAAGTGTGGCAGCACAACACCAGCCCATGTGTTACGTGTATACAAGCATCGCATGTTAACAAGTGTAGTGATATCTAACCATGTTTCCCTCCATGTGCGAATGTGACCAGGTTCTGAAATCCAGTGGTGGTGTACAAAGTTGGATGCAAGCTCTCTCACCTAATCAGCATTCTTTTCATTACTTAGCTTTAATGACAGCTTGGGTTTTTTATTATAGGAACATTGATATCGACCTTAATCAAGGTTATTAAATAGTCGATTAAAAATAGTCTTAAAATATATTTAAAATTTGTGCCATCTAAAAATAGACAATTGCAGTGTGTTCAGTATAGCAGTTGATCAAAATGAATATATATTGAGTGTTGTATAATTTTAGCTTTGGATTTAGGGCAAGTAGAAATTTAAAAAAAAGTTTCTATCAGTCTTGCTAATATCCCTGTAAATCTAGTCATGACTAAAATATTTAATTCTATAAATAACACATCAGATTCTAATATATTCAAGCATGGATTGTGATAGTTAGCACACCAGCAGGCATATTGTACCTATAACTACTTGCTTTAAAGAAGTTGTCAAACAGAAATAACTTGAGTGAGAGTGGTGTGGGTGATGTGTGACAGTTAACATTAATCATAATACAATTGTATTCACTTTTCTTATACTTTTTGTAAACCATTTTTTTATAAAACATATATAATGTGCATGCTTCGTATATGAATAAAAAGTAAATAACTCGTTTAGTATTGTGGGTCTGTTATTGATTTGTTGTTGTGATATTAGCAATAATTAATTTTTTCACAGCAGGGTTATTGTTACATACATAGGCCGACATGGAGCAGTGGCGAAATCAGCCTAAAGTGTCTGCCCCACCCCCCGCCCCCTCTCCCCCAATTGGTGGGTTCTTGCAGTAGAGTAGTTCTGTCCCTTGGAGATGGATGGTGGTTACTCTATATGGGGGTTCTATCAGTGTTGTAGCCTAGATGTAGAGCGTTGACTGTTGACCCGAAAGTCTCGAGTTTAAATCCAGGTTAAAGTCAGTGGAACGTACCTGACACAATATACATTCCTTCATATGCCGAGGTCAAGAAACGTGAACTCTTCTACTTCATTTGCCAATTGAATCGTTAGGTCAAAAGAGGAATCTTTACTTTATCGGGATGATGCTTTGATAGATTCGGGTCGAAAAAAATGGTTTATTGACGGATGTTGCACGCTGTACAAGTATTTTATTTTAACAAAGTGTCACTATCAAGTGCTGAATTACGCTTGGTGTATGCAGTGACAGATTCACGTCTAAACAATCTATAGCTTATGGATCCGGCTTTCTTGACCCCCACCCCAATGTATTTTTAAAACATTTATACATAGGTTTTTTTTCCGTTACAGTTTTAACATACCTTTAATATTTTGCACTAACATACGGTATCTGGAATTAAAGGCCCAATAAAAAATAGCTTAGGCCTAATTAAGTCTAAATCCGGTACTGAATATATGTCGTTAGTACTATAAATAGTAAACGGTGCATTTTATTAGGTACGCTACTTAAATACCCATAGACTTTTTAAAAATACTTTTATTTTCAAGAAAACAAATTACAACATGTTGATGAATGTCTTAGTTCTAGAAGCAATCAGGAACTTTACAGCAACACAATTTACATATACAAGTGGTAAGGTAATAATTATTCACATAATGGCAAATAGGTAATGTAGCTAAGTTTGATATGTACAAAAATAATAGGGAGAACAATGATGAAGGGTTAAATTAAAATAAAGAAATACGCGAACAACAACACAATATGCAATATTGTGGTCTAGGCATGATTCCATTTTAAAAAAAAAATTATGGTAGACTTTATACCACAGTTTCCTTTAAACTATGTAGTGTTTGATTTAAGCAAATATTGCATGGACAGTATGGTCTTTACTATGCAAACATGACAAAGTTCACTGTTGTTTGATACCTCCGATATAAATAATATCAAGAACGACGAACGGGAAGAAGACTGCATAGAAATATTAACAAAAAAAACATGGCAAGTTGCGTAACATAAATAAAGATTGTCCTTCCTAAATGTAATTTTATTGGACAATCCAGAACCCCAATACACCCTAGTTGTCGCCCCTTCCCCACTCCCAAAAAATCGCTTACCACAACAATATATCACACTGTAAACCCAATCACATTAAAAACCACCTTGCAACAATGATAGATGGATGGAATGTCGGTGAGGACAGACGGTTGAGAGGGGGGTGGGGGTGGGGGGTAATGGTTTCTGGGGGCAAGGTAGAGAATTTCCCAGTCATTTAAGGTTTGTAGCGAGGCTTGTAAATTTGGCCGGATGCTAATCTCACAAAAGAGTCAATGCTCAAGTTTATTTATATTCTAATGCTCTCAACTGTTTTCCCGACCATGCAACAACGCCTATAGTGTTATTAATATCGATGGGCTCTATACGACCCCTCCCACACCGAATGCCACTACCTCTACCGTAGGAAAGGTCTGGGGGGCATTTTTGGAACTTTTGATTTTTTTCCTACAGTAGAAAAGAAACAGGGGCGGAACTACAGTGCCGCCAGACCCCGCAATGCGGGGGGGCCCAGACCGATTGGGGGCCCAAAAATCCTGGCTAAATTATTTAAAAAAAAAAAATTAAAAAAAAAAAAAAATTAGGTGGCGGTCGAGTTATCTTTCTTCTACAGTTACAAACAAACACGATAGTCGGCAAACGTCTTTGATAAAAATGCACAGACTATAGCTCGAGAGACCGCCAGACATAAAGTCAACTTCAAAGACGCAGCCTACCGTTCTTTTTAGTGGCGTCGACTAGGAGAACAAAAAAGCATTGTTATATTGTTTACATTATTAAAATACATATCTATGATTGTGTGTTTAAACTACTGGCCTGAATTCTACAAAAAATATAATTATTTATTTCGATCTCGTACATTTATAATTGCGTTCATTTTTACTTTAACAACTGTATCAATAAACTTGTAAAAGTTTAAGTTATCTCCCTTCAGCGAAGCATCTGAAATTTGACTGTGCCGGCACGCTTTGAAATCGGGCTGGGGAAATGTTGCGGCGACTATCCTGGTCTTCTAGACGACCGGAAAAAGTCGGCACTATTGATGTAGATGTTCATCGGCGCTTTCTTGTCCCCTTCCAATGAACCTTCCCAACTCTCTTCCCTGCCCCCTCTTACCCCTACCCCTCACCACACCCTTACTCTTACAATAAGATGTAATGCATAGATTAACGAACCGTCTATGAACTACTGAACTGTAAACTGACCACTCCTGCACATTTTGTTAAAGACACTAGTCAGTAGTTGTTCATTTACCTGATGAACAGCGACGGAACTACAGTCCCGCCAGACCCCGCAATGCGCGGGGGGGGGGGGGGGGGGCAGGCCGTTTAGGGGCCCACGGCTGACCAAAATTAATATTTTTTTAAATTTTGAATTTAATTTTCGTGCATTTTTGCCTTAATATTTGGTTTGTAAAAGAAAAACACTAGCTGCGGTACGATTATCTTTATTTTACAGTAACTATACCACGCTCTTCCGCAACAGATAAAATCCATTACACAAACTACAGTGTAAAATATAGGCAACTCTTCAAATTTGAATGACTTCTTTGACTCGTTGCCCCCCACCTCTTTAATAGCTAAATAGAGGACACGTAACTGTTTAACCGATCCTCCAAAGTGTACTGTCGCGGATTAGGCAGGGGATGGGGACCAAAAAGGGGGTTCAAAAATTGTCGAATTTTTTTTACATATTTTAAACAGTTATTTATAGTTGTATTTTTTAACCATTGTCAAGGCCGAGTTCTATTTCCCTACAATCAAACACACGCTGTCGTCGGCAAAATTCTTTTTAAAAAACAACAAAGTCCATAGCACGAAAAGCCGCTACATATGAAGTGGGCTTTCGTCTTTGCGGCATTCGTAAGGGACCCGAAATCCTTTGTACATTTTTCAATGTTAATGTGTTTGTGATAGTGGTTGAATTTGTATCTTGCATCCTACAAATAATAAAAAAATAATATAATACTATACTAGAAACTTCAGTTTTATATACGGTTACTTGTTTTTGCTTTTACGAGAAATATCATAGTAAACTTTTAAAGTCTATACTTGGAATAATCTCCCCTGAGTAAGTTTTACAATGGGCGATGCTGACGTACATAGATCAAGGCGTTTTGATGTCGCTTTCAAGTTTTTTTCCCGAGCCGACCCCTATCCCACCCCTCTTTCTCAACCTCACAAGTATCGAGGAGATAAATGTATCGTTTATGAACTACTTCCTAACCGTACGATTCAACACTTCAGCACATTTTGTCAGACACTAGACAGCACTAGATCTAGATCTAGATCTAGTCAACAGATATTAATTTACTTTCATAGTATTAGGCACATCTAATTCACAAAACAGGGCAGGTAAGATTATTTTTATATAATTATTTAGAAATTAATTACGTTTAGAATTAATTGAACATTATTAATAGTCAATTACTATTTATAAATGACGTCATTGAGGTGGGGGTGTGTGAGGGTCTGGCTTTTTGTTAGTCCCCCCCCCTCCCCTAAATCAGAAGGTTATCCAACGCGTGACCTGGCCACATACAGTTGTACATGTGAAAAACATTTTTCTGTCTATTTTGCATTACTGCACCATTCACCCAATCGCCATGAAAACTTGGGAAGGTGTTGAGTACAGCCCCGCAAAAGTTTCTGTCATAGGCCTAACATTTGTACATATTGGAGTGGGGACTCCTAACGGAAATATGTGATTTAGCGCCCCGTGATCCTGCATAAACGGATGAGGTTACTACTTGAATACAACCGGCGGCAGTGGCATCCTGAGCGCATCACATATGAGCAAGTTGGCCCCCCACAGACAGTCGTTTAAAAGTTCCCACAACACTAGGAATAAGTCTCGCTACAACACTCGATGACTAAATCTAATTAGGTGTCGCACCAATGTTTCTTCCTAGGTAGACTGTTTTCGGAGGAGGGGTGGGGGAGGGGGGAGCTCTGCCGGAAGAAACAATGTGTTGCACCCATCACCCGTGCAGTAATGTAACCGGTAGCTCCAAGAGCCCCGTGACTCCCCTGACACCTGGGTCGTCGCCGAAGCACTTACAGCATGCCTTGGCGTGTCTAGTTGGTAGTGTGGACAAACCCGCGCCCTAAGATCCAAGAAATGAACTGCCGACATTGTTAACATTTAATTCAACTTCTGGAAAACAGGGCACACGGTTGGTAACGTTTTGATGAAAGCCTCATAAAAACCTGCGTCAGTTTGGAGTGTTGTACTAGATTTAGAGAGTCCGTGCTTCTCACATGGAAAACTGAATGGGGCCAGCTCGTGTGTTGGAAAACCTCTGATTTATTCGGGTACCGGATACATTTTTTTTTTTAATTTAGTGCGACCTTTGTTTTCCATATATATATATATATATATATATATATATATATATATATATATATATATATATATATATATATATATATATATATATATATATATATATATATATATATATATATATATATATATATAGGGGCCCAAAAAAAAATTCTGCGGGGGGGCCTTTTTTTTCTAGTTCCGCCACTGAAAAGAAACTGGATTTCCATTTTCTTTTTAAAATTATTTTTATAAAACAAATATTAAAATTCCAATGTAAAAGTTTTAATTTTCTTTAAAGAGGGAAAAGGGTCCCTATTTTCCTTGGGC